ACAATAAAAAGCATTAAATTTTTTTAATAAAGTATTATTAAGGTGTTTACTGTTTCATAATAATGTATTTGATTTATTTAACCTATTTTCTTATATCATATAGTATGAAATTTGTAGCTAAACAATATCAGAAATATTCGAAAAGAGATTATTATGAAGTATCTTTGAATATTGAAATTCACCCAATGAAGCCTCGCTCAATTTTTACAATACTTCTTATTTTTAATACAATTATGGAAATATTTCATTAATTAGTTCTGGTTAAGGAATAATAAGATTTTGTATACAAAGAAATAAGATAGAATGTTAAGCCCTAGTAAAAGTAGAAGCTTGATAATGTAATATAATAATAAAAAACGTTGTAGCATTTAAAATCACTCAATAACGAATTAAATTAAGTTAAATTAATAAATAAATTTATTTGATAATATTATTATATTCAAAATAATAATCAATAATATTTTGATTTAAAATTTATATTCAAATTTTTGTTTTTCGAAAATGCAGATAATAAGATTTTCTTAAGGCAATATACGAATACATAGGGTCATTTTTACTTTGAGCCAAATTATTATGAATTAGTGTGAAGATATTTTAAGATTTTAAATAGCCACTTTGTTGTATAATATTTCTCTTATAAAATAACAATAATCAATAGTTATTGTTTAATTTGAAAATGATAAAATCCTAAATTGTTATTGATATTCAAGTCAAATATAACTCTCATTAGTCATTTCCAACTACAAGCTACAATTAGTCTATTGATTTTGCTAGTTTTTTATTAATTTTATTCATAGCATCTATTTTATATTGAAACAAATAGGATTACTGCTTATACTTAATTTAGAATAACTTTTCCAATTATTTTAGTAGGAAATTGCTTGAGCAAAGGAACCAACATTTCTAATAGTTGCAGTGGAGTTGAGAATCCTCAAATACAATTGCATGGAAAATATATAAAATCTTTGGTAGGATAAATATTTCACATAAATGATATTGTTGTTTTCCATTAATGGATTCTGAGATTCATTTAACCCTTTTAGATACATATTAAATGTTTTTCTAAAGCTAAGCTACATATAAATTAATTAGTCTTTGTTACATTTTGTTATTCCTAGACATCTGTTTTGGCTTACAATAGTGATGCCTTGATTACATAAGTGTTTCGTTTATGAATGATTTTAATTATAGAATATACCATTTTTTAATCCTTTAATTATAGTCCATGTTTCATATAGTGTATGACGAAAACTAAACTTTATAAAGAATACTTTCTCTTCTTCACATTAATTGCATCAAAATCAAACAAAAAATACTAACTTTGAAGGTTCATATTTATTATTAAAGCCGGTTAAGGTAAAGAACCTCACGGCACTCCATTAGCAAAAGTGATATTTTTTATTTTTAATGGACCTACACAGCATAGTTGAATTCAACTATTTTAAGATAAAAATACATTAATTATATACTTTAATTAATCGTTTTCGCCTTTCTTTTTATCTTTGAAGATATTTCAATAAGGAATATCATTGATTATTAAATTACCAACCAATTTAATTTAACTCTTCATTATAGGATATTGATTTACTTCTTGCATGCTTTCAAAATAAAATGAAGACTATCAATAGTAATAATATTATTTTATCTATGAAATAAGTTCATTTGTGATTTTCAAATAGAGGATTATCATTTAAAATATTAGATCTATGCAATCTATTTTATCATACCAAAATATTTATTTATCCTGCAACAACTAACAACCTGATTAAGAGAGAAACTCAATAACTTTTATATCAATAATTAAGTAAACAAGATTTTTGATATCACAACCATGATCTTGCGAATAGTTAAAATTAAAATTTTTAAATGAAAAATAAATCAAATGGTAAACCACATGTTTAAAAGTATAAATTGAATAAACTTATGTGCAAAAAGGAAACCTCTTCCCTGTATTCATTATATTCTTATTATTTAATATTGATCATCTAATTGATTATATTTGACTGTAATGTTATTACCTCTTGAATCTAAGAATTTGGATAATGATTAATAATTAATATTACTTATTCTAAGCCAAGCTTATATTGGATATAGAGAAATAATCAGGCAAGAAATCAAAATAAGAATTTAGTGAAGAAATTGTATCTAAACATCGAGACTAATGTAAGGGGAGTGCTAGATTATGGGAAGAATAAAAAAAAGAATTATTATTTAATGAGAGAAAAAAAGATATAAACCAATTATTAACTTTTAGGAAGTTATGTGTTATGAAAATAAAAAGATGAATAATAATAATTATATAAAATACAAAATATGCTGAAGCTTAAGAAAAGAGCTTTTTAAACTTATATAAATATGGCTTCGATGCAATAGAGATATTGGAAGAGATTATTTAAAATTTCTATTTTATAAACAAAAAGATAGAAATCCCTATAAAAAAAATCTCAGATATCCTCCTATGATTAAAATTCTTATTAATGATCTCTGTATAGAAGATTTGCCTTGATGGATGAAAATTTGATGAAAGAAACAATTAGTACAGTAAGAATCTAACTTTTCAAGTGAAGAGCAATAATAGGCCTATTAAACTTTACCTTGCAATTTTCTATTACAACTAAAATACCCAAAAATACTTGATGAACTAATGAATTGGAAACTATTCGATCCTAATGGACTACTAAAGAACTTATATAGATAGCACAAAATGAGGGGAGGTTTTTAAACATTAAGGTCTCTCTAATCAGTATTATTGGAAAACCAAGATCGTTTTTAGAAAAAAAACAAGTTATATTGTTGAATATCATAGCAGAGGAAGTAAACTCATACCTGCCTAACTTAATTTCAGCATGATTCTTATTCTATTACTATAGTTTATACACTAAAGCAATGTCAAATCAACAGTTGTGTACATTAAACTTCAAATTTTTGAGGGATTGAGAAAAGAAGTATTCAAATATAGTTTGAACTCTCCTGATTTCGGTCAGCCATAATGAAGTGGATGATCATATTAATTAATTTGTAACCAGGGTTGAGATGATTGAAAGTTCAAAATTATTTTAAGATTTTCTATGGAAAAATATTACAATACAATAGAATAGGAAATACTAACTTAATATTGAATAAATATATTTATTAGAGAAGCTCAAAAGTTAAGAATTATATACTACTTTAAGTGACAAAATATTTATCATCAATAAATAGAAAAATATGAAAAATTGAATTTATTAAATTGAAATATTTTTTTATTTGAATAAAATGCATAAATGAAGGCATATTGTTTGAAGATAACTACTCATTTAATTAAAAAAAAACCTTCAAGGTTTTTATTATTTAATGTCTTTTCACAATCATTACCATTGTCTAAGAGATGGAATTATTCATTCAGATTCAAAAACCAATGTATTTTGATTGAAATTGCGAATAATAAAATGTGAGAAATTCATGATTTATTTAATTATTATTTCTAATTTATAATGAAATTTGTCAATTTACTATGAATAAGACGTCGCCATTTTTTTAAATTTATTAAATTATTAAAATTTTAGAAATTATCCTAAACATTAAAATTTCTTTTAAAAATTTGTGAATCATATTAATTACAATCTAGATTAAAACCCTCTAATATAAATGAAAATCAAAATATTAAATAATTTATATATTTAACAGGTTGGCGATTTAGAACTACTCGAGAAGCATTCCCTATTGAATTTCTAGTTGCTTTTATTTCTAAAACTATTGAGAATTCTACAACGGAATAGCAATCAATAAATATGAATCAATAATAGTTGCTATTAGCATATATGATAAGTTAGAAACTTTCTTTTGAGTTAGGAGTTTCTAAAATAATAAAATTTAAGTAATTTGAAACAGAAGTAAAAACAAATATATTATAACGATAGAATTTTTAACTGTAAATTGCTTTAATCTAAACAAATTTTTCAGACGATGATTCTGTTTGACACAATAATTTATTGCAATAAGATGAACTCTAATAACCGGCTTTTAAGGTCATCTGAAAACCTGCTATTTTTTTTTAGTATTGTCGAAACTCTTCGACTAATACAAGAATATAGAAGATTAAGACCCTACTTACGAACTAAAATCTTGGAGGATATCACTTTTGCCTAAACTACTAAATATCCTTCTCTATAAATTTATTATTTAATATAATGTTTAAACCAAAAATGATAGAAAATGAAAAAGATTTTTTTTGTACTAAAGGACACAAACTACCAGTTGTTACAATTGCACTTGATCCTAAATTATCGAGAGATGAGCGACTCTTATGCACAGAATGTTTAGAGAATACATGCATGGATGGCAAAATGGTTGGATTAAGGAAGATGATATAAATAGTTGAAGAGAACTAAATAAAGTAGATGGAAAAAGTTGAAAATATAATAATGGATTAGATAAAATAAGTTGAATAACTACATAGTATTGTTGATCAGATGAAATCATTTGTTCTCCAATAATTAAATGAATTGATTACTATATTGATTGGATGGATTCAGAATCTATAAAAAAAAGGATAATAATAGTCCGAATATAGTCTTTAAGAGGAAATAGAAAAAATGGTTTTGTAAAGAAATAATACTTATACCACTTTACAACCATAAATTAGTGAAATTTAAAAAACAAATTTCTGCTGGATATCAAAATTACATCCTAAACTAGAATAATTTAATTAATTTGCAGAATATAAGAGGTGCAAAGATATATTGACAAACATAGGATTGGAATCTTAACACATTACAAATGAATAATAATAAATTAATGTGCAAAAAGAAAATGAAGAATTACAATAATTAATTGCTGAATTAAATATTTAACATCCATAAGCTGAATAATCTGCTTGTTCAGACAATCTTTAATCATTTAGTTATGACATTATTTAAGAATTTTCAATTCAAAAAATAGAATAATGCTATGCAATTGCTATTAATAAGGATTGTTCAACCTTATTGGTTGGATGCTTATCTCAAATTAAAGTATTTGAATTCAACTAAGGAAATATCAAATAAATTTAAACCTTAAATGAGCACAAACAATATGTTACTACTTTAAACTTCATGAAAAAATCAAAATAGTTTATATCTGGAAGTCGTGATAAATCTATTATAATATGGAGATGCGATGAAAATAATTTATGGACTTTATAATAGAGATTAAATGGACATAGCTTTTGGATCTTATGTTTAGTATTAAATACAAATGAAGATTTAATTATTTCAGGAAGCAATGACCCAAGTATTAAATTTTGGATTAATAAAAATGAATGGGTGTGTCAATAAACAATAACAGATCATTCCAGTTCCATATATGGATTAAGTTTGAATTAATAATAAAATAGAGTGATATCTTGTGGTTATGATAAACTGATTTTAATAATGGAGCAATAAGAATAGAATAAAGATTGGATTGTAATATAAAAGATTAAAGTTGAGGAGTTTGGACATCGAATATGCTTTATTGATGATAATATTTTCGCATTCTCACAATATGATATTGAATAACTGACTTTGTTTGAGATGAATCCTATAAATAAATAGTTTAACAAAACTCGAGATATTTCTATAAAATGTGGATTAGAAGATGAATGTTTTTTTCCTTAACAATATATTAATTCTAAGTAGATTTTACTGAGTAAGAATGGTGAATATGTCAATTTAATAAAGAAAAAGTAAAATGAAGATTTTCTAACTGAATACTCCATTCCTTTTCGAACATTTTGTCTTTTTGGTGTGATGAGTGATGATGGTGAATATTTGATCACTTGGGATAAAAATTCAAACTCAATATAAATTAGGAAATATAAAGAATTATGAAAAATATATAAATATAGATAAAATTATTTTATCAAAATCAATTTCTGTAATTAAATGAAAAGAAGGCAGTCTCTGAATAATGTTATTAATAACTCTACTTAATTTTTATGAAACTTTAAATTTAATTAAATAGCAACCTTAAGTGTCTAATAAGTAGAACTCTTTAGAACTTAAAGCTATTTAATTCAATTGATTAAATCTCCTTATTAATTTACAAGATTGGCAAAGGAAAATTTCATTTTTTTTCTATGATTTGGTTACTAAGCCCTCTTGGAAAATCCAAAAATTATACAATAAGGAAAGGATACTAATAGATTGTTAGGCTCAAAATGTCATTAAAGTTCTCAAATTTATTTAAGTAACTCCAAAACAATTTGGATTATTTAGTACATCGTTGTTATGGACTGTTTTGATGGCACTCTCCAACTGTACCAGGATTCTTTCTATTTAAAAGAGAATTATATTATTTAACTTTTTTTAGGGAGATACAGTATCTTCTATTATCTCAAATTCCAATTTCCACATTCGCTTTTTGACGAATTAGCCATTCTTTTCAATACAGTTAATTAAGCTTCGATTTTGCAGATAGTAATATTGTATCTTGAGAATTAAGGATATACCTCATAAAGATATTAGATGTACCAAAGCTGATCATCGAAATCTATAAATAACAGGGTTTTGTATTGATAGTACGTCCTCAGTTTAAAGGCCTTATTGCAATTTATGCTTGCCTTGCCATGGTGAACATCTCAACAAGTTAACTTCTTTAGAAACTTTTGAGTGTATGGATGCAGTAATGAATATCGAGAGCAAAAAATATGTAAGTTAGCTTTGATAGTCTTCCTAATTTCCTAACTACCTTTTTTAACAATAATACTTAATAATTTGTCTAAATAGGACTTTCATAGTTTGATGTTATGATTAAAAGTTTATGTCATATGGAAAATTGCCAGACCCTCTTATTTGATTAACTTAAAATTCTATAGAGTAAACCAAAATTTTTTTTAGATGAAATTATTAAGAACTTAAAGAATTCAAAATTAGAAAAGTAAAGAGTTGTGTAAACTTCAAATTCTGACAGAAAATCGTTGCTTTTAGAAAAATTTTAACGAATAATTATATATAAAGTAAATTTAACTAATTCATTCTGAATGAGAAAAACTCAATTAAATAAGATGATTCATTTTTTGTCATTCTTATATATATAGATTCTTCAATCGTGGTAGCTGGTTGTAATAAGGACATAAAAGTATTTCAACATAGAAAAGGGAATCTGAATTAAATATAATTATTAGGAGAGCACAAAAAATAGTCTTTACTTTAAATATTATGAAACACGCAAATAATTTTGTGTCTGAAAGCTTATTTAATACAATTATAATATGGCACGAAATTAGATATGCTTAATCGAGTTGTTACAAAAAATTAAATGAACATTCACACAGTATTCAGTGATTATCGTTAATTATACTGATAATCTAATTAATTCAGGCATTTCTGATAAAACAATAAATTTTGAATGAAACAGAATTAATGGTCGTGTTATTAAACTATAACTGATCATTATTAAGTTCAAATGAACAATAGAATCAATTGATCTCTTGTTTAGAGGATTCATAAATATTAGTAATTGGATAGTATAAGTAGGATAAATAGTGGAGTTTTATGTAAAAGATTAAAGTTGATTAGTACTGAAGGAGATATCCTTTATTAACGATAACGTATTTACGCTTTAACTACATTGTAAAGAATAAATGTATGTTTATAATGTGGATAGCAATAATAAATAGTATAAGAAAATTAATGAAATTACTTTAAGTGTGGTTCAATTAACAGTGATAGTTTAGTTCCATTATAATATTTAAATTTAAATTGTCTCCTAGTGAATAGAAATAATAAAAATGTGAATTTAATGAAAAGAAAAAAAATAATGACTTTGTAATTTAATAATCTATTGAATTTAGCAGTTGTAATATTTATGGGTAAGTAAGTAATGAAGGAGAGTATGTGATCAATTGAAATAGTGAATGAATAAAATAAAGATCAAAATTATCTTACAGTTCATTTATTCTTTATGATAAAATTGAGAATTATTTATTTCCTATCATTCTAATAAGATATTAAAACTAAAACATTATTGACCCTAAATTCATTTAAAACTCGCTTACTGATAAGAATTATTAAGTAATCCCTAACATTTGTTTTTTAAATTATAATGAACTTTCATTATATTTATTGGGCTTATTAGTGCTTTCGAACTATCTTTATCCCAATCATTTTTACTAATATTAAACAATAAATCGTGCCCATTCTTTCATAAAGATGATTTAAATTTGTTCTCATACCACTTACATAATAAAATCATAAATTCTCCTAATCAATCCACCAATCACAAAAATTCATAGATGAATGATTAGTATTAGGTTACTATTAAAAGTAGAGGTACATTAATGCAAGAATCACTATAGTACTGACATTCTCATAAATTGAATTATTCATTTAAGGATTACCTCAACATGCTCTAATAATTGCTTTTTTAAGTATTTCTACTATTTTCTATTAAAATAAATCATAATTATACTTCTGATTTCAGCATTAGTGTCCTTCAGTTATTTGAATTTTTTTATAATAATCTCTCTTATCATTAATTAATTTCATTTTGAAATATTATATAAAAAGAGCGGACCATTAGTTTAGGCTCAAATTATCATTAGTATTTAAGTTTAAAGCCTAGTTCATAAATCAAATTGAGTTTCCCTTAAAAATTTGATAAAAACAAAAATTAGAATATTATTCATCCAAATAAGTGTAGTCATAGAGAATCTTAAAGTATTTAGGCAATATTAGCATACTTAAATTCAAAACTGGGACTCAAATCAAGTAGATAATTTTAGTTCCAACAGATTTTAAAGTAATTAGATATAAATATTAAAACTTGGGATAGTAAGGGAATAAAAAGTTAAATATTTAAAATGTAACTATAAGGAGGAGATAGAAACTGTTTGTCATAACTGATTTTGTAAATAGACTTATTGCTTTAAATTTATTTAGAGGATAGAAACAATCATGATCATTTTTAAGATGTTGAAAAGTCAATAGATTGAATGAATCTATTTAAAGTAATAAAGTGATAATCTTTCTAAAAGGGTAGAAATAAGAATAAAGAAGTTGGGAATTAGAGAAATTTTATAGTATAAAAGGAAAGTCTGTTAGTGAAATAAATAAAAATGGGAACTATAAATAGAATGCAAAGCAACAATTTCTAAAATGATTCCTGAATAAATTGGAAAATTAACTCATCCAAATTAAAATTTATAAAAAACAACTACAAGTATACTATATCATCATTTAATTATCATTAGATTGATAGTGATTCTTTAAATTAATTCAAAGTATAACATGATAAAGATAATCTTAGGTCTATCATTTAGGATATGAAAATAATAACCATTAATCCTTTTTGGTGTTAAGGTGAAAATAATGTATAATTTCTTAAGGGATCTATATTTAATTACTTAAATATAAATGAAGAGTTACTTGTGTGGTAAAGCCTTCGAAATTAATCTTATTTATTTTAATTCCTTATTTGAGATTATTAAATCATAATGAAATTTATAGATTAATGTTAATTAATTTATTATTTCTCATCTAAAGATTTTGGGACGTAGGTTATGATTATTAAATTGCAATTAGAATGTTTGAATTTTATTAGTGATAAGTATCAAAGTTTGAAAATTAATTTACAATGAAATTTAAGTTTATTTAATCCAGAGAACAATTGCTATGTTAAAGATTAATTTTTATACATTTTTGAGGCTCTTCCTTAATTATATAGCCTAATTATCACTTTATTCAATTTTTTTTGCAAATTTAATATCATTTTCTATAAATTAAATGAAAAATTAACTTAAAAAATTAGAATGTTCAATCATTATTGTAATTTATGATACAAAATTTTACCTACTGGAGTTTTTAACTTTATGATAAATGGCTTTATTATAAAGTACAGTCGCTTCAATACTTCATTATTATTATTAAGTATAAATTGTGTTTTTGAGAAGTTGTTATTGGGAAGTTAAGAATTAAACCTTCTAGTAATTTAGGGTGATTACTGCTAGTTAATTCTAAAATTAAAAAATAACCTAGGAAATGTTTTTATAGCTTTTAAGTATTAAAAGTTAAATATAATTGTATTTTAATCATGAAAGAAATAATTTGAATCGATACAATTAAAAATAATGATTATTTATTTTATTATTAATTATGATTAAAATATAGTTAATATTCTCATCATAATTTATAGAAACCTTCAACCTTAATAACATGCATCTAAGGATTATAAGTATTTCCTGCAACATTTAGTATCCTAAATCCAGAAACTATTTGACTAGGAAAAGTTAGTGTCAATAGACTTTTTGCTAAATTGTTATAAATCTAAGTTTCTTGGCCATCAAATATAATAAAGATTTATATATTATATTATCTATTATCTCCATCCCATAGCCATATTTTCAAGGTATTTATTTCATACTTTTATAATAACCAAAAATCTATTGAATACCCTACCAAGCTCAATGTATATACAGTTACAGTATAAATAGTATCCCTTAAGCAACTTCCCTTATCACCTCCTACGAAAATATTTAGTATTTTTGATGTAATTAAGGTCCCTTTATTTTGACTGAATGCATTTTTATAATGGCCCCTGATAATTGATTTTATTTTTGCTTATTATCTTAAACAAAGCTAATTGGCAATGAGCGACATATTAATTAGAAGAATAAACACAAATATGTTAGGGATATATATTGCCATATTCAACAATCTTAATAATTATGATATTAAAATTGATTACACAATTTCAATTTATATGATGAAATCACAATTTTTGGAAAAAAAAAGATTTCCTAAAACTCTCAAAAACTAATAAATCCTTTATAATTCGATTTTGATCTGCTCATATTCAAACGAATGATATTTTCAATTTATTTATTCTTTCATTAATTTTGGTTAGCTTAGATGCTATCATACATCTATATTTACAAAGGTTGAGTTAGAAATTTGAAAATTTGTTGATTTATAATATTATAAGTGTCACCAACAATTATCTCAAAACCAAATCCAAAGGACCCCATCCAACTACCACTTTTGAAAACTACTTATAATTTAGAATTTATTAATGTATATAATCAAGAATAATTAATCAAATAATGAACTGAAGATAGTTCTTAATCGTTTATCAAAATCGTCTTGTCAGCAAAAGTTTTAAGCACTTAAATAAACAACAAACTTAATCTATTTTGAATTAATCATGCAAAACTTTTGGAATTGAATATTGTCAAATATCGAGTTCATCTTATTCTAGATTGATTGCTATATAAATTAAGTTAAAGAACAATTCTCTCAAATATTAAATTAACATTTGAGAAAAAATTCAACATCATTCTTATAATCTTTAAAAAAGAAAATAATTAGAGAAATGGGTAATAAATCTGAAAAGATATAATATAGAAAATTTTAATGATAGAATTAATTCTATTAAGAAATCCTAAAATAATACAGAAAATTATTATGTTTCTTAATCTACCTGGTAAATTGAGTATCTTTCAAATTCATTGACTTTCGATATTTTAATTAGCAACATTCGAAATAATAGTTTCTAAGACTAAAGTTAAATTTTTATTCGGTAAATTGTAAATTTTAGGGAGAAAGAAAACAAATTTTTTAGAATAAAATAACTTTGATTTTATCATAGTTACTTAAAGAGATACCATTATATTTTTCAACTATGATTTCCTTTCAAAACTTTATAACTAATTAATGAAATATCCAATGATTATTAGGATTATTATTTGAATTACTTCCTAACTAAATAATTATTATTATATTTTTAATTTTATTAGTTTTAATTAATAAAATATTAGAAAATTTGTAAATTATGAAACAATAAACATAATGTATAACTATTTGCTAGCAATCGAAAAATAATAAGCAAAGCAACAGAGAATACCAAGTGAATAGCTTAAATGAAATCACTTATTTACTTTCGAAAACAAAAATTGAAATTTAGTATACTGATGATAATAAAATCATCTATTCCTAAGATGAAGTAATATTGAGAGAGTAAATATCATGTAATTTATTTTTAAAAAGAGAATAAAATTTGGACAATTTACATATTCCAGAGATATTTATTAATATTGAATAGGTAAGGTATCTTCAATGGGAAGGTGAATATAGTCAGAACCAGAAGAAAATTGGTAAATGGTTTAATAAATGGAATGGAGAAGCACTTGAAGAAGTAGGCGGGTACTATTAAAATGGGGAAAAGAAAGGTTTATGGAAAGAGATATTTAAGAATTATTGGAGGTATAAATTATTGAGACAAATCAAAATAGTCAAGCCCAAGTATTGGAAATTGGAGAATACGTGGATAATTAAAAAATTGGAATATGGAAGTATCAATATCATGAAAAAACGATGTATTGTATTTATAGATCAACAAATTAGTGGAGGTGGATCATACAATAGGAAAGGATAGAAGAATGGCAAATGGATAGATTTGAGTGATGAGTTTTGGGAGTAATAATATGTGATTATAATTAGTCATAGTTAAGTCACAAATGTTGGTGAATATAAAAATGGAAAAAAAATTGGATTTTGGAATAGCGTGTTTTAGAACTAATGGATGTAAATTTTTAATAAGAATTAATTTAGAGGTGGTGGATCTTATGATGAGGGAGGTAGTGGAATTAAGATTGGGAAATGGGTAGAGTTATCCGAAAGATTTACGAATTCATCTAAAATCACTTTTATTGGAGAATATAAAAAAGATAAGAAAGTTGGCAAATGGGATATTTTTTTGAGGGAATTAGAGATGTAAAATTATAGAGGAAACGAATTTATAGTGGTGGTGGATAGTATGAAGAAAAAGGTGATGAGACTAAGGTTGGAATATGGATTGAATAATGCGAGGATTATAGAGAAGCATCAAAGGTTATTTATAATGGAGTTTATAAATTTGGTAATAGGGCTGGAAGATGGAATATATATTTTCGTGGTTAGTAGATGTAAAAATTATGTAATAAATAATGTTGTAGAGGTGGTGGATCTTATGATGAAAAAGGTGAAGGAATAAAACTCGGAAGGTGGATTGAACTGCGTGAAGGATTTGAGTATTCTTCATAAATCACTTATATTGGACAGTATGAAAATGGAAAAAAAATTGGCAGGTGGGATATTGTAGATATGGGATCTAATGTGTAAAATTATGAATCGAAAAATGTTTTAGAGGAGGTGGATCATATGATGATGAATGGAATGGCATTAAATTGGGAAGATGGATTGAGTTGAGTAATAATTTTGGGAATGGAATAAAATAATCAAAGATTACTTATGCTGGCGATTATAAATATGGGAAAAAGATTGGAAGATGGGATATCAAACATGATGGAAAAGACATGTAAAAATGCTATTAATAAATATTTAGTGGTGGGGGATCATATGATGAAAGAGGTGATGAAATTAAAATTGGGAGATGGGTTGAGTTGAGCAATACTTATGGGAATGGAATAAAGTAATCAAAGATTACTTATACTGGCAAGTATAAATAAGGGAAAAAAGTTGGAAGATGGAATATTTAAAATAACGGAAAAGATATGTAAAAAAGAAATTAGTAAATATTTAGTGGAGGTGGCTCATATAATGAAGAAGGCTATGAGATTAAAATAGGGAGATGGGTTGAGTTATGGAAGTTATTTTATATGTATTAATAAGTCATTTGGGATGGAGAATATAATTATGGTAAAAAAGTTGGTAGGTGGGATTTATTGTATAAGGAGAAAAGTTATGAATAATTTTAGAAGATGTAAAGTAGAAATATTAATACCTTTTAGTGGAGGCGGATTTTATGATGAAAGAAATAATGCTGATAAAATTGGGAATTGGATAGAATTAAGTGATAATTTTAGTGATATGTCCTAATTAACCTATAATGGGGAGTATAAAAATGGCAAAAAATGTGGTAGATGGGAAATATATTATAGGAAATAAGGAAAATATTAGTAGATGTAAAATATTAAATAAAATTATTAGAGGTGGTGGACATTATAATAATGAAGGAAATTAGGGGACTAAGAATGGAAAATGGGCTGAGGTGAAAGATGAATTTTCTGATTGGAATTAATATATATGTAAAGGGGAATATCAAAATGGTAAAAAAATTGGAACTTGGGAAGATGAAGATATAGGAGAAGACTTTAAACATATTGAAATTATATGATGATTCATTGAAATAATTATTTATGATTTTGATATTTGATAAATTTTAATAAAAGTGTTATATTATTTATTTGCTGTGTCTTCATTTTTAACCTAAAACATTTACTTGAGTTCCAGACTTCTAAACATGAATTTACGCTATTCTTTTAACAAACCTTTCTTAATCCCATGAATGGGCTCTTACATCATCATTTCCAGACAAAATCATACCTTCATATTCTCCTTCTCTTTTATACGCTCTGAGTTATTTCATTGTTAGCTAGAATCGCCTGAAAGATATTCGCTTGAAGAGATGGAATAACAATTTTAGTATTGTGGACCTCATGAAGGACGAATTGAATTTGTCTTTTAAACTAACCAAGTTGATATGGTTGTTGCACAGATTGCTTAGGTGACTTGGAGAGCTAAACTGTGTACGGGATGGAGAAGATAATCATCATAACTTAAGAACGTATATTTGATAATTTATTAGGGAGAATGGAGAAATCAAATGGGTTATCAGTTAGAAAATACAAAAAAAAGGATAAACGAAAACCAATTTAAGTTTTAAAAGGTTTAATCTATTCTCTTCTACTTACTTTTAAAGATATTTGAATCTTACCTACCAATAAAGAAATACCTCAAAGAAAAATAATAAATGAATTCTTGAACCTCTCAGCCCAAACTTAAGTATAAGAAAATAAACTTTGCGATATTAAAGAAGTGCCAAAAAGAAGTTGAAATTCTGACTGATTAGAGCAAATTTAATTTAGTCAACTTTGTGAATTATTCCACCTATGACATTTTATAAATCATATTAGTGGCTAGTGACAACAAATTCAAAGTTATTCTGCTCCGTTGTTAAGATTGAGTAACGAAGCATCCAAAAAAAGGATGACACAAGGAATACAAAAGGTGTTGAAGTCCTTTTGGATGTAAATTTCTCTGAGGTAAGATTTCTTGTAGAATAACTCAGGCCATCTTCAAGCTCTGTGAAGGAATAGTATTATTAAAGAAACTTGAAATAGGAGTGTAGTTAATTCGATAGTTGGTTGCAGAGAAAGTAGTAACTGACAGGGATATGTAAATTATATAATTAAGTGTAAGATTTGTTTCAGCAGAGAGGCTATAGGTGTGATAACTTAGTGGGCTTGTGTGAAGTAGTTGGATGATGAGAACTATAGTGAGTGATTGTATTTAGACTTTCTAAGCATCGAATAGTTAAACTCAAAGCCCAATAGATAGACTGGAAAGAGGCAATAAGTTTAGTTAGATTCTCAAAAACTTTAGTAAGGTCTTTCCTCCACTGTAAGATGTGCATAAAACCTAACGTTTGTATGTTGAATTCAATATTATGACAGATTTTAAAGTGGCTGAACTGGTGGATAGTTGACTACTTTTGAACTTGTGGAAATCGCCTATGATGGTATAAGAATTATTCTTATTCTAGCCGTCTGGAATTATAGTGGTTTATAAAAAATCTAATTTAATGCGATAATGATGTTTCAATTACTGCAATAAAATAATAAATATATGCATTTTCTTATATCCCCATTCATCATGCTCTATTATTCAATGGCAAGAATAATAATAATTATAATTCAAAATTAAAAATAAAATTCTTTTTAACAGATTAGCCAATTATAATTAAATGAGCTACCTCCTTATTTTCGAGAATTTTAATTATTTCAAGATCTGCATAACAGAACTCAAGTCATAAGTTGGCTATTTAAGTTTAGAGGGAAAACAAAATTATTTAATAAGTATTAATTTGGTAGAAGAAAAAACCGGATCTAATTTAAGATTAAATAAAGGCAATTTCAATTTTAGAGTAAACTACTTTTTAATACCCTTGATGAGTTTGTAAATCTAAATCTTAAAATGTTAGGTTTTGAATTAAAGTTATCCAACTTAAACCTAAGATGCATCTTTTTAGGATTGAAAACTTTAAATTAGCTTAAATTTATTTGATCATTAACAATAAAAATAAAATATTAAATTGAACTTCTTTTTTCGTTATTTGTGAGCTTTTCAGTACGCAAATTTAATTGTGGTTTTTCTGCTTATCTTTTCACTGTGTCATTTGATATAGCCAACTATATCCACTATAAAGTCAAACCACCAACATCATAGTTATGACTTTTTAGATTTGATCCATTTTCTTTCGACTCGCATAAATTGAATATTTTTATAACAAACTCATTGACTTTGACCAAAAATATTATTAAATTAAACTCAATAGAATAATCTCTACCATTTATATATCTCACTATAGTTTGATTATTCATTAAAAACATAAATTACAATTATAATGATTCCAATTGGGGTTGAGGAAATGATTAAATAGATAAAATAGAGCAAGATTACTTTTCATCCATTAATAACTTTATAAGTTGAAAATTCTGGAGATGCAAGAGAAAGGGTTTAAAAAAATGATTTTATCACCTTAAATTACAGTAAGAATTGCAGCCACTTTAGCATTTGATTAAATTCAACAAAGGAAGCTAACAGATATGTTGACGATAAGAATTAGAAAAATTAAACATGGAACGTTATGGATTATATGAAGCTGCCCTAATTTCTGATATTTAATATTTGAAGAGCTATATAAGATTGAAAATTCAGGAATAAGAACACAAACGAAGTTGATTATATTCTTGTTGCAGGTCTGGATACGATGATTGCATAGAAATTTTAATTAAACTTAGTTGTGACATAGATATAACAAAACACCGATAGCACACCATTGCATGTGGCTAGCTATTATGGTCATGAAAAAGTCATTGGGTTATTAATAAGNTAATGATGTTTCAATTACTGCAATAAAATAATAAATATATGCATTTTCTTATATCCCCATTCATCATGCTCTATTATTCAATGGCAAGAATAATAATAATTATAATTCAAAATTAAAAATAAAATTCTTTTTAACAGATTAGCCAATTATAATTAAATGAGCTACCTCCTTATTTTCGAGAATTTTAATTATTTCAAGATCTGCATAACAGAACTCAAGTCATAAGTTGGCTATTTAAGTTTAGAGGGAAAACAAAATTATTTAATAAGTATTAATTTGGTAGAAGAAAAAACCGGATCTAATTTAAGATTAAATAAAGGCAATTTCAATTTTAGAGTAAACTACTTTTTAATACCCTTGATGAGTTTGTAAATCTAAATCTTAAAATGTTAGGTTTTGAATTAAAGTTATCCAACTTAAACCTAAGATGCATCTTTTTAGGATTGAAAACTTTAAATTAGCTTAAATTTATTTGATCATTAACAATAAAAATAAAATATTAAATTGAACTTCTTTTTTCGTTATTTGTGAGCTTTTCAGTACGCAAATTTAATTGTGGTTTTTCTGCTTATCTTTTCACTGTGTCATTTGATATAGCCAACTATATCCACTATAAAGTCAAACCACCAACATCATAGTTATGACTTTTTAGATTTGATCCATTTTCTTTCGACTCGCATAAATTGAATATTTTTATAACAAACTCATTGACTTTGACCAAAAATATTATTAAATTAAACTCAATAGAATAATCTCTACCATTTATATATCTCACTATAGTTTGATTATTCATTAAAAACATAAATTACAATTATAATGATTCCAATTGGGGTTGAGGAAATGATTAAATAGATAAAATAGAGCAAGATTACTTTTCATCCATTAATAACTTTATAAGTTGAAAATTCTGGAGATGCAAGAGAAAGGGTTTAAAAAAATGATTTTATCACCTTAAATTACAGTAAGAATTGCAGCCACTTTAGCATTTGATTAAATTCAACAAAGGAAGCTAACAGATATGTTGACGATAAGAATTAGAAAAATTAAACATGGAACGTTATGGATTATATGAAGCTGCCCTAATTTCTGATATTTAATATTTGAAGAGCTATATAAGATTGAAAATTCAGGAATAAGAACACAAACGAAGTTGATTATATTCTTGTTGCAGGTCTGGATACGATGATTGCATAGAAATTTTAATTAAACTTAGTTGTGACATAGATATAACAAAACACCGATAGCACACCATTGCATGTGGCTAGCTATTATGGTCATGAAAAAGTCATTGGGTTATTAATAAGTTAAGGTGCTTATGATTATGACAAAAATATTTATGGAAACCGTCCTTCAGATGAGGCTAGAAAATATTCCATAAAATAATAGATCACCAACAGTTCAGATCATAATATCTTAAAGTTTTTTCGAGAATTAAAAGCAGATAACTTAGTAGATTGTATTTAAAGATGAAAGAATGACAACATGATAAGGATAACAGAAAAGTGAAAGATGTAGATTTTTTAAAATTATATAAGGACAAGACATAATATTCTCATAGCTATCATAGAACTATATATAAAAGTTTAAAACCTATCCTTGATGTTGGATTATAACCATCTGGAGCATAAACAAAATATGGAAAAATAGAAAGGCGTGATTTTCGTATTCGATAAGATGCAACAGTGAATTGACTTAAAAATTGGTAAATAGCTATTTTCACAAGTCCCAATCCTTTTTATGCCGCTGATATTTTCTACTCAGGCAGGATTATGTGTTAAAATCAATAATAATTTTGTCTTGTAGAAGCACTATTAAAAATGGATGATTAAAAAAATTATGATGAATGCAAAAATTTTCTTGATAATTGTAGTGCATATTAAATTTGAGAAAAAGATATTGTTTTTATTAAATCATCAATATTATTAATTTGGGTATAGAAACTTCTAAAATTAAGAAATCAGACCTGAAAATAATAAAAATCTAATCATTATTAGACATCCATTTCTTTTGTTCTTGGCGATAATTCGATTTATAAAAATGTCCAGGGTTAGAGATCAATAATTTTAATGGAAAGAACGAATTCATTTTGATTGGATTAGTTCATAAATACATGATGATTTTTTGAATTTAAGATAATCAATTAAAATGAGTGATATTTTCTGGAAGTTTTATTCATTATTTAAGCCCACTTATGGCATTATTCAAATGAGACTAAACCAATTATAAAATAAATTAGAATAAGATTCTTGCGAGGAGAAAGAACTAAAATGGTTTTTGAAAAAGAAACGCTAAAAATACATATGATTTTAAAAGTAGCAACTATTAAAAATGATTTTTTTAATGAACGTCATCTTCGAATCAATTCATTTATAAGTAATCAAATTAATATATTATCAGCTCAAATTTCCCATAACCTTCCTTGGAATCCAAGAAGTTGTACTATATTATGATGAATATGTTTTAATCCCAATAAATTCCTATTTAGAATTATAAATTAAAAAAAGTGATCTGTTGCTATTAGTAAATTTTATTAATGAATTAAAATACATAATTTATCGCATTATATGAACAATTAATCTAATAATACCCTACATTAATTTATATTATAAATTTTTAATAATTAATTTCTTAAACTTTCTTTACTATTTTGATTTATTTTAGTTAATCCATTTGAATTTAGTAAAAATTACATCGATTATAATTAAGGTAAAGTTAGTAATTGCACAGTTTTTAAATCAAAATATAAGATAAAGAACCTTAAATTTTTTCATTCAGTATTATATTGAAACAAAACTTAAAGTGAGAAAAAAGTAAATTAATTAATATTATTGCGCAAACCCTATATTAATTAAAATTAACAATAAGAAAAAATTTAGTGATTATTGTTTTTAAATTTATTTTGGTAATTGATACTATTGTTTTGTGATGCATTTAACATTTATTTTTATCATAAGCTTTTTGTACAATCAATAAATAATGTCATAAATATTTTCATATGCATAATCACTAAATTAAATAATGAACCAAATCTCTAACCGTTCTTAACTTCCTTTACACTGAGTTAATAATTTAAAACAATACTTACAAATATACATTGAACCCTAATATTATTTTAAGAAAACCTATCTAATTTGTTAAAATTTAACAACTAATTATGTATTAGTAAATCATTCATTTTTAATATATTATTATATTATTATTTCTTATATTATATGAAAGTTATATATATATTATTAGGGTGCCTTATAAACTACTTAAATTCAAGGTGCATTGAATTGCAAAAGCAAAACTAAATAACTTGTTACTAATTTGTATCCAGGTGTTGTATTATGGAAGGAGATGAAGAAAAATTTTAAGATCTCAGACAGATCAATACTCAAATTGTAATAAAGTCATTCTAAATTCCATGTGCTAATGAACCTATTTTAATAAGAATCATCGATTCTTTGAATCAAATAAAATACAAGAAAGGTTGATCTGCTCCTTGTTTGTTAATCTTGAATATTATATCACTTGTATGGGTTTTGACTTACTTTTGTATGAGGAAAAAACGAATTATAGTGAATTAATTAGAATAGATACAAAAATTTCAGCTGATGAGATATGCGATGAGATTTTTACAAATGAAGATGGTAGTTTGAGTTTATTTTGTCTTGGTTAGTCAACTTTAAAATAATATTCTTTAGATTTTCAAAGTAATGTGACTCTAATTTTGGAATACAATGTTTCAGAATAAATAGGGGATAAATGCAAAAAAAAATAAATTAAATACTTGTAAGACTAATAAATAATTTTATTTTATCAATGTTCAAAATGGAAAATTATATTAATTACAAATAATCAAGCATCTACTTTAATTTAAGCTTAAATGAAATATTAGTAGGCTTAACTATCAAGACTTACTTTTATTGATGATGTTTGTTTTTGTGAAATGAGTTCTAATAATCTTCCTATATATCTGATAGAAAATTATTTTTATGTGATTGTGTATCATCATGTATATGATAAGAAAATTCTAAATTGCCTACTTATTGAGCTGCCATATCGAATTTAAAAATTACTATTAAATCAGAAATGTTTAACAATAATTTTAGTCAATGAACTAGATAAAAATGATTCATCAATAATTCAAAATTAAAAATATTAGGAAGTTCTATTGAATTAAAATTATTCAATAAATAATATTCATCTTTATTCAAATCTTGTTTTCCTATAAAACTAATTTGAATTAAATGTATTAATAAATATTAGGATCAATTAGACATATCAAATTAGTAACACCTCATTGCATTTTTTTGATTTTGATAATGTATTCTGCTAATTTGATGAGAAGAAAAATGTGTTATAATTTTATAAATATTAACCATTAAGTGTTTATATACAACCTAAATAAAAGTATGTATATGTAATAGAGAAAGCCAATTTATTTAAAAGAAATGGTAATATCTAATGTTTTAGATTGCTATCCGAAAATTACACTTAACAAAAAAATTAGGAATACACAGATATGATATTATTTCAATATAATTGCGAAAATAAGTAATAAATATTATGGAATTCCAAAAATCCTAATTACTTTAAAAATGATACTTATAATATTTACAGTAGTCAAGGTAATCTTAAGGTAAGTATCAGGAACGATGAGAACGTTTAACACATCTGTTTTGAAAGATTCTATAAATTATATCACCGAGGTATGTTTTAGTTAAAAAAAATCACAAATAGCTACATCTGTTTCCAAAATTAATCTTTTTTTTATATCTATGATTGCCAACAAAAAAGAATTGTAATTTCATTAAACATAGATAAATATCATGTACTTGAATATGATATAGCCTATTATTTTGTTAATAAAAGTAATAATAATGATTTGACTGGAATTTAGTTTTTAGATGGTTCTCTTTAATATTTTAATTTAAACTTAAATGAATTGGTTACAAGTGTTACCAAAATTTATTCAAGTATATTTCTTTAGACGAACACGTCTAATTTGCCTTTTATCATTTAAATCAATTTCGATAAAATTGTAAAATACTACCTATAAAAAAATTTATATTAGCCTGAACCTATTCTATTTTATTTTGAGTCTAAACACTTAAAATTAATCCAATATTTAAAGGTTTTAGCATTTCAAAGTAAAGAATTTTTCAGATGCTTTCAATTTTAAGAATAATAAATTATTTTTATTCAAACTTTAGGTATGTTGGGATGTTACTGTATTTTTTCAATATAAGATTAAACTAGATCTTTATTTCTATATTATTTAATTGATTAGGAACTACAATAAGTATAAAATTACACCTTTTAGAACTATTCATTTTATGATCCTGTTAAGTACTAATTTAATAGCCTTAACTTAGCAATTTTAATAGAATAAAATAATTATCTATATATAGCTATTTTTTCATATAACATGTCAAGCTTATAATTAGATGAAATTATAGCAACTGATAATACCTTTTTTAAATTTGATACAAATCTATTAATTTTTTCTTTAGATTAAGTTTGGAAGTAAATCTCATTAAAACAATTTCAAGCGGAATTAGAGCTAGATAATTTTCAGTTAGATACTGCATCATAAACCTTTTCTTTTAGCAAAAATGAGGAGAGAAGTGTTGAATTAAAGATTGAAAATAAATGTTTTTAATTAACTTCTCTTGTGAAAACTTCTATAATTGAAATTCAATACAAATAAAATTTAAAATTAAATATTTCAGAAATGTTTTATGGTCCAATTAGTAATTTAACAATTTTAAATAATTCAAACGTTGTTTTGAAGGGACCCTTTCAATTTATAAAAACACTTAAAATTTGTGATGATTAAAACACAGAATTATGTATTAGACACTATCATTTTGAGACGAGAATAAACGATATAATTTTTGAAGTACTTATGTAAGAAAATTAAATTTTGAGAGTAATTCGTACAAGTAAGAGGAATATTTAATATGATTATTATGTAACTTGGATAAAATAGTAATATTTCCTTTGTGTTTCATAATTCATAAATTATCTAGAAATTGAATTAATTGAATGTTCTGAAAAATAGGGTTAGATTTGTAGAATTATATCAAATCTTAAAGTTGATTTAACAATAGATTAAATTAATATTATAAATTCAAAAAGGGTTGGTAATTTAATAAAACTGGAAGGTAATAATACTCAGGCATTTATTGTTATTGATAATATCAATTATAATATAAAAATTTTACCTTGTTTTTTCATTGATATCTAATAAATTGAAAATTCTGATAATGAATATATCGTTCTATAATAAAATATGATAGATTCAAATGATTTAGAATTAGCTATATACTCAACTAATTTAAATTAGACTTACTCATTAGATATAAATGAAAAAATCTCTTCAGAATTCATTATAATTGGAAATTTTCATAAATAAGCATTTAATATCAAATTAGTTTCATGTAAGTATTCTGAAGATTTAATTAAAATTAAACTTCTCATCATAGATTAATCTTTTTCAGAATTAGTATCGTTAAATTTGAATAAATAAAAGAATTAAATTTAGTTGGAATTATAAAACTAGTTTAGATATTAAATCTAAAACAGCCCTTTTACTGTGATTGACAGTTATATTTTACAATATGTAGATGATAGCATTTTAGTTTTAAGAAATGATACCGATGATTTTTCTTAATTTTATTAAATTCAAGATGATAGAAAATTAATTGATTATTTCCACAGGTCAAATTTTTCATATAAAATAACAAGATTAAATACTACTCATTTGATTTTCAGTGATGCTTATTTGGATATATTAGTATTTATGGAATATGAATTGGAATTAGAAAATTATGACGAAGCTGAATAAAATTTTGTATTGTTTGCTTAAAATGAGGTATCAAATGAAAAAGTATCATTTTAAATACATATAATTAAAAAAAACTTGTCGTTTTCGAACAGTACTTTATTAATTTAGATAACTTGCTTAATTTTCATACTCATTTACAGTAGATCAAGAAAAGCTAAATCTAAGAATCAAAAACCTAATAGTCAATGATAATAAAAAATCTATTTGTTAAAAATTTTAATAATTAATATTAATTAAAATAATTTTCTTGATTAATTTTCAAATATTGTCTTTAATTTTTAAAATATAACTGTTAATTAAGTAATTTATATAAATTTCTCAATGTTAGAAATAATTAATTTTTGATGTGGGATAAATTTTAGGAAATTATTTATGAGAAAAATTTGGAAGAATTAATAGAAATACATTATCAAAAACAGCCGGAACCTATGATTTTTATGAAATTATAGATTTAATTATGATTTAATCACTATTGCTTTTTTGAATTATTTATAATTTAATAATTAATAAATAGAATTTAAAGAATAGTTGTCTGTTTTTATATTTATAAAAAAATTAGAAAAGCAAGTCTTAGTTTGATCATTTATGAATCCTTCAATAATTATTTAGAAGGTTAAAATTATATACAAATTTATAATTTTTTATTTGTCTTTACTTTTGTATGTTATATTATTGACAAGTTTTATTTTTCATATATAAAATTTTAAAGATAGTTAAGCCTTCTGAAAATTATAAATTTATTTAATAATTTTTTTGAATTCTTTCAACTAAAGCATATTAATCCATCATGGTAGAAATATGATTTTAATGATCTTTAATGAGAATTAAATACTTAAATTTTAAAGATAAATAATTAGAAATCCTAATAAATCAGATCAAAAGGTTGAAAATTAATAAATTAAATTGAATGCATTTTTTGTTTTATTATCAGCCATCATATCTTTTTATTATTAAACCAAGACTAGTACTTTGGCATAATATCCTTCCGAATTCAAACTTTTATTTAGATATTTGGAGGTACAAGCAAATGATAAAATAATTATTCCTCAACAATATTATTTTTACTAATGCGAATCAAGTGTAAGCTGGATATTCTCTAGTATATATTATTTTTTTTAATTTGAAATCTAATCTAATTTAAATTTCTCTTTTTACTTAAAATAGAATTTACATTTATTAGAAGTTGTCTAAATCTGAAAATATCTATTAATTAAATTCTCTATATGGCCTACAACTAAATGATCCTTTCGAAATCTTATTTCACTCAAATAAATATAGCATCTTAAGTAACCAATGAACCTTATTTGGGTCTAAATAAAATACTTACTAGTAATCAGCTTGACTTTATTAATTCATCTAAAATTGAAAAATCAAGTTATTGAGTTGGGGATTGTGAAAATCTCTAAACTTTAAGTTTGGATATATGATAGATGATGCTAGTCACTTAACATCTTTTTTCCTTTATATTTCTTAGGATAAATAAAAATATTTTTTTTCTGTAATTAATGATTAATTATAAATAAAATTTGATTATTATTTACTTTTCTTCAATCATAGTTTTATTGATGATTATAATAAACATCATCAATCATTTATAATTGTGCATTAAAGTGTATGTTGAGGAAATATCAACTTTCTTTTAAAGTGTTGTATTTTATTCAATCAATTACGACCACCCAAAAGACAATTTAATAAAGTTCATTTAGACGAGAAAAGTAAAGAATTAGATCTAATCTCTAAATGATTAACAAATTACAAGCTAAATTTCTTGAAAATCCTGATTGTCTTGATCTAAATTCAAAGCTAAACAACATTTAAGATTGTTTATCCGTAAATTTATACACAATTTCATGAGATTCTGATCAATAGAGAATAAAAATAAAATGTATTTCTAATACGCAATAATTCTATACTTTTTTAATTTCTATAAGAGAATAATCTTTATGCTTAGATTATTAAATAATGTTAATGAGCCAAACTTTAAATAGCACTCAATCGAAAGAAACTTAATTATTAGAACTTTTTATAAGTTGTAGACAATTAGATGATCTTGATTTAGTAACAGTTAGTGATCCCTATGTGATACTCTATAGAAAAAACAATAACTTTTGTATTATTTCATTTTATCGTTTCAGGGATTAAAATAGATTAGACGGAGGTAATTTGGAACAACCTGAATCCAAATTTTGTAAAAACTTTTAAGATTAAATATTTTTTTGAAGTTTAGTAACATCTAAAAATGGAAGTATATCATTTTATAAATTCAACTCAATCCAAAGTATTAGAGTAAGCTATTATAGATTATTGGTAAAGCAGAAACAACCGTAGCTGAAATAATAGGGTCGAAAAATTAAATTTTTATAGCTTAATTATTCAATTTATAAGGAAAGAAAAGTGGAAAGATTATCCTTAAGGCAGATTAAATAAAACAATGCAATGATGAATTTTCTATTGCAGTATCAGGGCATATTAGAAAAGAGAATAAACTTTGGCTTTTTTGGGACAAAGTTTCTCCTTTTCTAAGATTTTATAGACAAAGATAAGAGGATGAAATCAATGTATTGGTTTATGAAACAGAGTATCTTAATGATTTAACCTAAATAAAATGGAAGGAAATTCTTTGTTAAGCATAGAAATTATGTAACGGAAACTATTCAATGCAGATAAAAGTTGAATTATGGAATTATAAAATTTCTGGCAATCACAAATATCTAGGGGAAACTACCTTTTGCATTAATGAATTAATTGATTCAAACAAGGATACTAAAATATTCTAAAAGGAATTCATAAATAAGTGTAATGCCAATAAATCTCCAGGGTTTTTACAATTTGATCGATTTTAATTAAAATCTCATTATACCTTTTTTGATTATTGTGCTGGAGGATAGCAATTAAGTTTAATTATTGCTATTGATTTCACTGCATCTAATGAAGATCCTTAAAATCCTAAATCACTTCATCACCTCCCTTTGGATGGTCCTCCTAGTCAATACTTACAGGCAATTACTAGTGTTGCTGAAATATTGATTAATTATGATCATGATAAAAAGGTTCCACTTTATGGATTTGGATGCAAACCTATAATGTAAAATTATAACACTAATCAAACACTGCATCTCTTCCCTTTGAATGATAATCCAGATGATCCTGAGTAAGATATTCAAATTATTTTAGAGTCAATGGATTAGATGGAATTATTGAATGCTATAAAAATTAATTGCATAAATTGAAATTTGATGGCCCAACCTATTTGCATCCAGTTTTAAATAAAGCAATGTAAATGGCATAGCAACGAAAAAATCAAGGAAGTGAAGATTATATCGTACTATTGATTTTAACTGACGGACAAACAGATGACATGTTAGAGTCTATTGATGATATTATTGCTTCATCGTATTTACCATTATCAATCATTATTATTGGTATAGGAGATGCCAATTTTAAAAATATGATGATTTTAGATAATGATAATAAAACCATGGTCGATAGCAAAGGAAATAAAGCTACCAGAGATTTAGTTTAATTCGTCCCTTTTAATCAATTCAAAAGCGATCCAAGTCGATTATCAAAGGAAGTTTTAGAGGAATTGCCGAACTAATTAGTTGAATATATGGAATTGGTTGGTATTCGTCCTAAACCTCCAAAAAGTAAATTGAATAATGGTCTAAGTAATCAATCTATTTAATGTAGGTGTTGATTACTCATCTTCAAAACCAACCCAAGGGAAATTCGAAAGTTTACAAAAATAGAGTTGTAGTTTAGACTTTTAATAGAATAAGTTGAATTCTTAGGAGTTGTTTTCAGTTTAGTAAGCCTATGAAACTTTATTTAATCTGGCTACAACTTCAATAGAATTCAAATAAGAATATTTAAATAATCCAATAAAATACAATAATTAGATATAGAAGTTAGAACAATGATCTATTAGAAATTAAATATTATTATTGGTATCAATATTCTCATTAATAATTACTCGATTTTAATTCTTATGAAATAAATGACAATGTTAACAGTTATATTTCGCTAAATTAGTCTGAAATCTGCTTGAAAATCTTGTTAACTTAACAATATAAAGAGTAAAGTGAATTGAATATTTTAGAAATAGTCTCAGTGAATAGCAAATTCGCTTTCCAGTCCTTACTAGTAGATTGCCAACTTGTAGAATTAAATCAGGCAAAGAATAATTTTTCTACATTCATTAATTATGAATTCATATTTAATCAAATTAAGAAAAAGATTTGATTAATATTTATATAGTTTGTTTAAAGGCCCTAGAGATCAAGCCTTGGTCTCAAAAAGGGGTAAAATATATATTTATCTAAGCCAAACTCCAGAGGGGATTGAGAAAGCAAAAGTCATCAATCTATTAGACTGCTCTAAAAAAAAGGGACCCTTACAATTCAAATTTTCGAAAGTGCTTTCTTGACAAGAAAATGCTTCTTAGGAGATTGTTTAAAAGTTCTGAGTATAAAATCTGAAATACTCATTAATTAAATATACAAGTATTCAATATTTATATATAAAGCTGGATGTTTAAATTATATTGAACATCCAAAAAAATTTGGATTATGTTAGAACATTAAAAATTTAATCTTTTTTCTGTTTAGTTCGTTACCATGGGGACCAATATTACATTAGAAATGGAAAACCTTTCCTATTCTAGAAAACTTAATTTCAATATTGGTCTCCATAATCAAGCTAAATGATAACTAGAGAAGGACTAATTTTTTCATGTTTTAGTAGAATCTTTATGAATGATAATTGTTATTTAAATCTTATTTAGAAAACATAGTTTTTATATTAATTATTGTTTTAATTCTTTATAATTGTATATGATAATACTATTATTATTTTGTTAATAATTAACAAACTTCAAAATTTATTTAAGAGTTGATATCCTATACCTTCGTTGATGATTCAAGTCAATTTAATGTTAACACATCGAAATTCAAAATGAATCTATAAAAGTGAAGATTAATTTGATTTTTTTATTGGTTTTATGCTAAAAATAAACATATTTCTAAATGAAAAATGAAATCTTAAATAGACTTAAACTACCATTAATGGAACCAATTTAATAGTTCGTCAAACTGGTTAATCTAATAAATTGGTAAAAAAGATGATGAATTAAAATAAAGTAACATAATAATATTTTAATTTACAATTATATAATTCAATTTATATTTATTCTTAACGTTATTTATTTCGTATATTTATATTTGATAACCTAATCCATAAGAAGGAAAGATTTTATTTTCAATAGAATCAGACAGGGAAGTGTCATCTCCCCCTTCTTAAATATCAATAATTTTATAAATCTTCATATGTATTTCGCTATTACGTTAAAAAAATGTAGAGAATACAGTTTTCTATGGCTAATATTTTGCTTTTTATGCAAGGATGATCATTATTTTTTAATATAAAAATGCTGATTCACAAATAGATCAAGGATTTGCTTATCAAATAAATGAGACCGTTCACTTAAATAAATTTGAAACCAAACCAATGGAGCTTTCTCACAGACAAGAGGTTTCTTAGTTTTGATTTTATAGATAACCCATATTAATGACAAGCGATAGATAATGAAAAATTAAATAACAAGAAAAATTTGGTTTTACAAGATGTCATTATGATTCTTGATTAAAGAGATATGATCAGATCTCTTAACTATTTAATAGGAAGCAATTATTTTTAGATTATATAAATAATAAGTATTATAATTTCTATGCAAAATCGATGTTTTATATAATACTAAGCATAATCTCATTTATCGAGATTATAATATAAATAGTTATGTTTTTCTTATTTTATAAAGGTAACTTTCTTAAAAGTAAATATCTAATTTATTATTAGTTAACTGCATAAATCCTCATAGAATTAGTTACACAAATATGATAACTTATTAAGCATTTATTTATTCATGTAAAAATATCATATTAGATACCTTATATGAATAAAAGGTAATTTATTCTTGGCGGATTCTTCGCTATATATTATAAAACAGTTTTTCCCTTTTGAAATATCAATAAAGTTATAATTATGTTTACTAAATCATTATTATTAGCATGCAAAATTAAAATATGATTATTCATTTCAAAGCACTTTTAGTTTTCTTTATGTCCATTTATATCCAAGTGCCAATTTTTATGCCATTTTGATATTCACCTTTATGGATTATTTGTTTATTATAATTAAATCCATCATCTAACTCAATCCATGGTCCAATTTTCAAACCATACTTTTTTTCGTCATATTATCCACCAGCACTAAATTTGATTTATATAATTATTTACATGAATTCAAATTTATCTTTGCCCTTTTCTTTATAAAAAATCTCCCAATTACCAACTTTTTTGCCATTTTTATAAACGCCCTTAACAATAACTTATGAATCCCTCCAAAATCTATTACTTATTTCAGTCCATTGACCGATATTTATTCCCTCTTCATCATATTATCCACCCCCTCTACAAATTGTTACACTTTATCTTATTACATTAATGAAAATGGTGACTTCTCACTCTCCCGAAACTTGATTTCCCATTTACCAACCTTTTGGTTATTTTGATATTCACCATCATAAATTATTTAAGAATAGCTTGCAAATACGTCACTTATTTCAATCCACCTTCCTCTCTTACCACACTTATAACCATCATCATATGACCCCTCACCTCTAAATTAACTTAAATAATTTTTGTACATGTTATCAAATTACTCTTTAAATTTTTCTCTGAACAAAATCTCCCATTTATCAGTTTTTTTTCCATTTTTATATTTGCCTCTAAAAATTACTTAATGATCCCCCTTAAATTTTTCACTTATTTCAGTCCACTCTCCTATCTTCACGCTATCACTTACTTCATCATAAGATCCTCCACCACTAACAATTTTCAATTCATAAATATTGATACATTTTTTCATTTTAGTAGTCTCCATAATTCTTTTAATACCAAATATCCCATCTACCTATTTTTTTCCCATTTTGATATTCACCAATGTAAGTAATTTATGATTCTTTTTCAAATCCATCACTTAAATCAGTCCAATTTCCAATTTTATTACCATAATGTTCATCATATTCTCCACCACCTCTAAAAATATTTTCAATATAAATTTCATACATTATTTTTTCTTCATAACAAATCTCCCATTTGCCTTTTTTTTACCCACTCTTATTATATTCACCAATATACGTTAATTTTTAACAATCTTTTAACCCCTCATTTATTTCAATCCATTTTTCAATCTTATTGCCATTCTCTGTATCATATATTCCTCCACCTCTAAAATTTATTTTAAATTATTTTTACATGATATTTTCCTCATAAATGGTGTCCCATCTACCAACTTTCTTGTTATTTATGTATTCCCCACTATAAAATAACTCTAAGGAATCCATAAAGCCTTCACTTAATTCTTTCCATTTTCCATTTTTCATACTTTAATCATTATATTTCCCCCCTCCTCTTATATTTGTGATAAAATATTATTACATTTGCTGATTATTCCAAATTATTTTCCATTCCCCAAATCTTTAATCCTATTAATAATCACCTTCTTCTACTACATTCTTTAAACTAAATTATATCATATTTTTATTACTCCCTATAATCGTCACATAAATCAATCCACTTTCCTTTCTTTTAACCCCTTAAATCATACTTACCACCTCCAACTTATTGTCCCTTCCAAAAATAGTTCCATTAATTAATTTTATACCCATTAATTCCATATTATCCTTTGAATTCTAAATGCTTTATTTATTCTAATTTTTTTAAGAATTATTCACTTTTCTGTCCTAAGATTCTTTTTTCTCTACATCATTTAACAAAAACTTATACATTCTAAGAATTTCCCCATCTTTTAAATATAATTTATCACCATTATTTTATGTTATCAAATTAAAGGACTTTTTCACTAATTAATTGTTGACATACTCCAACCCTTCCAACTAAACGATGCTCTCTTCTGTTTTCTCATTAATTCTTCAAAATATAGAAATTATTATACAAATATGTTTGTAGTTATTCTACCAAATGATTTGTTTTGTATGCATTTTATAGGAGCCTTTCAAAATAATCTCCTGTTTTTTAGAAGTTAGAGAGGACAAATTTTTTCTTACTCATCCATTCCTCAAAAATATTTCCTTCTAGAAAATTTACAAGAAAGTTTAATTCACTCTGAGAGCATTCAAACGGGTTTAAATTCTAATTTATGAGTCTTAAGAATTTGTCATCACCTGCTGTTTCATCTTCTGAAATCCTTTTGATTATAGCCCCAATATTTGTGAATATAGAAGTTATTTCTCTTTAAAATAAATCAAATTGACAAAAGGCTTATTTATAAAATGATTTCGATTAACTAGATTCTAATCTACTATTCAAGTTTAATTAATTTGCTTTTTGTAGCAATTAATTGACAAATTCTTCTTTGGATAAAATTTACTCTGGTTGTAATTTGAGTTTTAAAATGCACTTCATACAAACTTTTCTTTACACATTTTGTTAGTGCTTCACCTTATAAATACCTCCAATCTAAGATCTTGAATGTTCTAAACAGTCCTCAAAGGTTGAAATCATTCAATTAATTTATATAATAAATAATAGAATTTAGCTTTCAACGAAGTAAAATATATAATTATTATAGTTCTCTTTACATTTTAATTATTAGAATGTATTAAAAACTTAGATTTTCAAATAGAACAATATTTAATATGCTTGGTGTTTATTTATTATAAGAAAGAACAACAATGAATTCTTATATTATAGAAGAGATGAATGAAAAATACAATCTTATCACTTAGATTAGATTGTTTGTTTTCTTAGATTATAAAATCTGACTTAGTAATTAAGCACTCTATCCAAATAGCTTTTTATTTGTTGCATTTTGGAGGAAGTAAAAAGATTTATTAGTTTTGATATTTAATATTGAATTTCATTATCAAGAGAAAAGGTAGATCCTAATTACAAATTGATTTATAATTAATTTGATTTTACTTTTCACTAAAAATACTTCCAGAAATTATACTAAAATCTCAATTAATAACAAGTATCAAGACTACTAAAATTGTTAAGTTTATTAATGATGGGATATATTTTCTCTTCTCTTACATATCAAACAAAAATCTTCTCGTAAAGATCTGAGAATGTGGCTGATTAAGATAAAATATACATGTGCTGATTTAGTTATTTATCAATTCGAAAGCTGCACTTTTGTAATAGTAATAGTAAATTGCCTTTTACAATTTTACTTTTAATTTAAAATAATTAAGAATAAATGAACATAGTTTTGAATACTATTCAACAAAGAGATATTTTTGGTGTCCCGATTTTCGTATTAACAAATAAGAACAATCCTATGTATAAAAGCATACTTGGTGGAATAGTAACTTTGGGTTTAGGAAGCATAAGTTTAGTTTACTATGTTATGTAATTATTTTATGGATTAATTATTAAATTGCAATCTTATTAAATTAAATAATGCTTCTCTAATAAAGATCCTAATCCTTCCCTTTTACGAATACTGAGTACTATTTCATTGGCTTTGAATCCAAGCTCTTCACTTAAGACAGCCCAATGATCAAATTGACTTTCCGGAAATGCTTAGCCTAATGTTAAGGATTTTAGATGAGCAGCATAAACAAATGATTAAACCACTGGTGGATTCTTTTTAGCGGTGAACCAACTATCTGTTCTTCTTCAATTATGATTCCCTGTCTGATGCTAAGACATGAGTAAACTCCAGCGGTAACTTGCTTTGGAACAGTTACTTCAGTCAATAAATTGGTTCTTATAGTCTAGGCTATGGAGTTAACTCACTAGCTGAATGCAGTCTAAGAGCTGTTGGGATAATTTAACCTTCTCCTCTGTGAATTGTTTCTGCAATCAAAACACAATCCAAAATATTGACTCCAACACCTCTTAGATTTTCTTAGCATAGAGCTCCTTCCTAATTAAATTACTACCAAGCAAATGATACTGATTCTCTGATTTCATTGATGTGTTGAACTGCTGTAGTTTGATCACATAAATTTTTTTGGCCAATATCATCTGGTCCAAATGTCCAGATTTTCAAAGCCTTATCCTTATTCCAATCATATTCTTAGGCTAAGATATTGGCTCCACTTTTAGAGTTATTAGTGGTTAAACCTTTTTCAATAGTAATCTGTAGATTTTCATTAAGTGATGTAGCTTACGCACATAGTCTATTATGTTAATTAGCAGATTTTGCCATACAAACAACTTTAGAAAGAGCAGTAACAGTTTCCTTATAAACAACAATTGGATCGGTTTTCTCTAATTAAAGACCATTTAGATTCTCTTCAAGTTCAAATAAGGCCTTTTATATATGCTATAAGCGGCATCCAGCAATAAAATGTTTACCTGAAATTTCAATTGAATATTCTATAGTTTGTTTGAGTTAATCTTCTGGTGACTTTATAATTTAATAATCTATTGAGTTCGGCAGCCATAATATTTATGGATAATTAGGCAATCACGGAGAGTATATGACAACTTGGGATATTGGATCAGAAGAAATCTAAATAAATTTCCTTTCATTAATTCTTGGAAATATACATTATTAATTTCAAGACTTAGACCTTATAATTTCATAGAATAAGGATAATTATTAAAGGCAAGATAGTTGATGATTCCAAATAATTAAAAGATTAATAGTTATTAAAAATATGTTTCAAATCCTAAATATTAATAAATTACATCAACATAATAAGATGGTTTCATTGACTCATCTTATTAATTAAATGCAGCCATTGTTATGAAAATAATCACAGTGACTCATTAGAAGAATAACTTACAATATAAAATAAGATCAAAATTCGAAAGTTTTTGACTAAAGCCATCGTTTTGATCCTTATAATTAACAATAGTAGTCATTATTATAGATAGAATTTAAATGCTTATTCGAATAGTATGATAAAGAGATATAATATTTAAATTATGCTTAAGCGCTTAAATGCTAATTGAGAGAATTCTATGTAGATAAAGTTGTTAAATCTCCTAGTCAAATTAAAGGTATTTATACTGTAACTTAAAATAAAACAAATATTAAACTTTTAACAAATAAAAATTTGAAAATATCTCATCAAATTAAATTAAATTGTAACTGGGAGAAAAAATTACCTATCAAATTATATTGAAAGTTGTTTAAAAACCATAAGTTATAAATTGGTGGCTGAGAAGTTGGAAATGAATTATGTAGTTTGAGTCTTATTCAAGGAGTATGCGATTAATGTGATAATAATAGAATAATTCAATGGAGTAATTTTTAAAAAATAATGCTTGATTAAACACTTAAGTAATGAATTTAGTGATACAATCAGTTGATATAACCGTTTGGATATTGAAGATATGTTTTATTAGGTTATAGAATTGATTATGTAACTTTTTAATTAAAAGAGTGAGACTGAGGTTTAGAAACTGATCCTGAACATCAAGATTGTACTTTGATATAGTGTTGAAATAGTTTAATATATTTTTATAATCTATGTCTGAATCATCAAGATTGAGTTAAATCATATCTCTATAACTATCAGAATAGATTATATAAGTGATAGTTACACTTAAATCAAAGCCAAGAAACTAGCATCTGAAAAGCTTTTCTTTACAAGTCTGTTCAAATTTACCCTCAACTTCAAAAATCGATTAGGCATTAAAGTTACAAAGGAAAATATTAAGAAACATGAAATAAATAAACGTAACAGTATTTTACTCATACTAGATCAAGTCCTTTCAACTTCAGATAGATTTCGACCATTTTTGCAATTGCTCAACATGATGAAGGATGATGGTTGACTGGTTGAAATGGATCAAAATCACCAAAAATACTTTTGTGATATATTATAATAGGAATAGCAAGTGGCGCAATAGTAAACATCCTGGTCCTTTAAAAGAATCAGTGAAAAAGGAAGTCTGAGAAGAGTGGGTGTGGTCAAAATGAACTCTGAATTATTGCATCAGGCGCTGTAAAACAGTGAATCGCTACATGAATACACACAGTTAAACACTAAGTAAAATCAGCTGGATATTTGCAAGTTTCAGGATAATATACATAACCCGATCGGGATGATTAAAACAAAAATCAGTTTTAGTACTTTTAGAAACCAGTTGAGCCTTTCTATTACAAATACAAATTTACAAGAGTTGCATATTTGAGCTACACAATTCTATTATGCATTTTAATGTGAATCTCTTGAATCAAAAAGAAGTGATGTATCTCCATTTCTCTAACGGCTAGCAACTATACCCAGCTGGTTGTAGATTTAAGAGAGGACAATTAATATTCTAGTTGATGGAGAATGATAAACCTCATCGCCTAAACAGCCTTTTCAAGTGATGTTAACCACATGTATAATAAGCATAGATTGGCTAAAATCTAGAAATATAGAAAGCGCAGAAGTGCAGGAAAATTTTGTAAAAAGACTTGCTATTGAAAAATTATATTTTATTAGCATTATCAATACACAAGACATAAGAATCAGAAACACTGTACATTATGAATGACCAAATTAATTAAAGCATCAAAATGGAAGGCAAGCTCAATGCATACACGTGTTGACTGAAAATACTTTTGATATCTAACATTAAGTACAAGTACCAAATCTTTAGAGGAGTCTTAATAGAGAAGCAATAACTGGTACAGCTGCTGAATATTCACAAGCTTACTAGCATTTGCTGTACATTCATATTGATTATGGAGAGGATAAGTAGTATGTCTATAAAGACAGGTAATAAAATTGTTGAAGCAAAAGTAAAACGTTAGATGCCTGAAAATATATCCATCTATGTATAAAATAGGTATTATATATCGATTTACACAGAATCACTTCTAATAAAAAGAGGAACTGCTAGTTAAAGAACTGGCACAAAGATTCCATCAGATGATAAAATTGGTGTTATTTCATAAATTAAGTTAACATTTCCCAATAATTAATAATTGTTAACAATACAGCTAAATTTGAGTGTGTATAAAGCCGTCTCAAAAGGTAACCTTCCATACATCCAATAGAATTTGAAACAAAATAGCCAATACTAAATATATATATTGATATTGAAAAGATTGAAAAAGAAAACTGTCAAAGCCTGTAAATTTATAATTTTTGATTGTATTAAAGTTCCAATAAGTAAAAATCATTTGATTCTTATGTTTTTAAATTAAAAATAAGAATATCCTTTTAAAGCATAGAATTTACTTTCTCAAATATTGCAGGCTAAACTACATTCAAAGAATTAATCATCAAATGTATGATAATTTACATAAATTTAAAAGATCTACCAAAGTACAATAATGACATGGAGATTAAGGAAAGCTATTGCGAGGCAACAATATAACAAGAGGTACATTAAATATAGCTGTAACTTTGTAACAACTTTGACATTAATGGTATTATTTTGTCGGAAATTATACAAATGCATTAAACTAATATAAACATTAACTGGTTAATCTAATTAAACAGCTATTTTAATTCTAAGCTAAAAGTGTAATTGTCTCCCAAAGTAAGCCTAAAATACATTCTGTAATTTAATAACTAAGCTTGATTTATTGTATATTATACAATTATCCTCTATTATTTATTATAAATATAGTTTAAGTAAATTTCTATTAAACAGTGATCTGAAAGATTATTAAAAACTATACTTAATATTTGTTATTAGTAAAATTCTGATTATGCAATTATAAGTTCTTGAAATCGAAGTCCTATTATCCTAGTATCTCTAAAAGATAATAATTTCAGGATTAATTATGTTTTGAAAACGAGAAATTTATTCCTGGACTTGATTTCAATTAATAAATTCATTTTAACTTCACATTCTTAATTTTTAATTTCCTAATTAAAAATTGTTCATTTATTGATATAAAAGTTACAATAATTTCAAAATACAAGGCGATCAATTCATAATATCTGAATTAGGCCTTTCTAAATATAAATAAATTAACTAAGGATGAATTCTTTAGTCCATTTTAATGATTTCTCTAGCCTAATTTTATATAAAACTATAATCTGCCGAATTTTCAATAGTTTTGCTCTGATCTCCTATGTGAGTGAAGTAATTGGCTTAACAAACTTATTCTTATTTCCTCATACTATAGTTTTGTAGGGGTAACTAATATAAATGTTAACTTAAGAGTATCTTATCAATTCAGTTTTATAATGTAACTACTCACTTATTAGTTGAATTCTTCTAAATTTGCTTAAGTAACATTTGAATGTATTCCGGTAAATTACATTTAAACCTTTCTCATTTTGAATTTGATATTTAAATTTGCTTTTCAGACCTAAAGACTGTTAACTCAAGTGTTAAATGGTAGATTCATTACTTTTAGTTCATCATTCCTTTTTAATTTTCAAAATAAATGAAAAAAAACAATTAAATAATATTATTATATTTATTTTATTTATATAATTTTTTTATCAAAGGATATGAATAAACATTTATAATCATTCATAACTTTTATAATTATTCTTCTATATATTTTTACTCTGATGATCCTTGGCGCAATGCAGCCAAATAAGATTATTTAGCTTAATCTTTCAATCCTGATTCGAGTAATGAATCGCCTTAATATTATGAATTAATACCCAATAGTCTTAATTTCAAAGGATCTGTAGAAATAATTGCTTTCTTATAACATATTATTGCATCCTAATATTGTTTTAACTAATTTAGTGCAAATCCTGTTTTAAAATAATACTTTACCTTTATTTATGAAGGCAGAATGATACTTCGGATTTATTGAAAGAACTTTATCGTAGCACTCAATAGCTTCTTAATATTTATGTAACTCATTTAATGATAAACCTCAATAAAATATTTGAAAGTTAATTACCCTTATTGCTCCATACAGTATAATTATTAGGATTTATAGAAAGAGCCTTGTCGTAACACTCAATCGCTTCTTAATGCTTATTCAACTTTTTTAATGATGAACCTTAATAACATATTTGAAAGTTCAGTACCCTTGTTTCCCCATACGGTATCATTACTAGAATTTATTGAAAGGGCTTTATCATAGCACTCAATAGCTTCTTAATATTTATTTAACTTGTTTAATGATAAACCTTAATAAAAATAATTGAAAGCTCATTACCCTTGTTGCCTTAGACATTATCATTATTAGGATTTATAGAAAGAGCCTTGTCGTAACATTCAATACTGTCCTGATATTTCTTTAAATTATATAACGCGAAACCTAAATATGAATTCTAAAATACTACCTTTCCATTCATAAACTTTTTCATCTGAATCAAATGATTTAATCGAGTTGTCAAATAACATCAAATCCTCCATATATTAATGATTCTTAACTACTGATAACCTTTTGTAATTTTGAAATAATTCATAGCCTATTTATACTTGACATAATTTTACCCTACTCAAATAATGTTCTAGCTTCCTTTCTTTTCAGGTTCCTTTCTTCTTCTTATTTCTCATAAATTTCTTATATTTTTATCTTATTTTCATGAGCAATATTCAATTGATCATTGATCTTTTTTGAAGCTTGCATATTTTTTATTGTATATAAAATTTCTTCTATTTCTGTTATTTTACTTAATTTTGATTAATTAGATTATCTATTTTTCTATAAAATATATTCAAACATATACAAATCTGTTTTTCTTTCTCCTTTGAGTAAAACTATTTGATTAAGTTAATTTGTGATTTAAAAGTTAAATAATCTTGGTTTAAAAGGTTTTGATTCATAACTTCTAATTTTGTATATTCTTGTTCCATTTATTTAATAATCTCTTCAAAACAATTCTTTATTTGAATGATGATTCCTTTGATTTATATTTTTTATTCTTTGTAAACTTATTTGAATTAGTTGATCTATTCACTCATTGTGACAAATCTAATACAATCTTTAATATGATCTGAATGATTCTAAGTTATGCATTAATAACAATATTAAGTTGCTTTCTAACAATTCTTATTTATGCAAAATCCAATTATATCTTCATTTTCATGATTTAAATATTTGCACTTAAAGATTTTCATTTTTTCTTAATTTTTATTTACTATATTTATCTCATTCTCATTATTCATTTTACATCTTAGTTTAAATCATTTATGAATTCGATTAAAAAAATTATTAATTTAGAATCCACAAATATGAAGCCTAATTCATCGGTTTGTAATCTTCAATTTTTATAGTGCAAATAATTCAATATTATACATCACATTTCTTCGCAAGTCATAGTAACTGCTACTTTAATTATGATTCTGCTCAGCTTCATTGTAATTACCAAAGTAATGTATAGATAAATACCTTAAACACAGTATTATATTTTGATTTTAATGAAAAATATATAATATTTTAGATAATATGCACCTCTAATGTTTTATCAATTAAATTACATATATTCATTTATTTTCTTCTTAAATTTAATAGAATTCATTAAATCACATAAATGTATGCCTCTATGATTAAAATGTATTGTATTTTAAACAGAACATAAGACTATAGATGGTTATTAATCTGAGCTAACTACTTTTGAGCAATAAAATGAATTAATTATAAGACTTTTGAGAGTGAGAAACAGGGTTCTTAATGTATTTTGAAAAATTCTCCATAATTGAACCATGATATTGTAAAATATCATATATTATTTATTTTATAACTTAGAGGAATTGATATTAATGTATAAAATAAATAAATTCATGCTGGTTTTCGATATTTTGGAAACTAATTGGTAATTAATATTTACTTAAAAACTACTTAAGCAGGATTAAGAGGTTTAATACATTTTAACTTCTCCTCCTTGATATTTAGGATCTCTAAATTGAACAACTATATCTGGACATATATNTCTATTTTTCTATAAAATATATTCAAACATATACAAATCTGTTTTTCTTTCTCCTTTGAGTAAAACTATTTGATTAAGTTAATTTGTGATTTAAAAGTTAAATAATCTTGGTTTAAAAGGTTTTGATTCATAACTTCTAATTTTGTATATTCTTGTTCCATTTATTTAATAATCTCTTCAAAACAATTCTTTATTTGAATGATGATTCCTTTGATTTATATTTTTTATTCTTTGTAAACTTATTTGAATTAGTTGATCTATTCACTCATTGTGACAAATCTAATACAATCTTTAATATGATCTGAATGATTCTAAGTTATGCATTAATAACAATATTAAGTTGCTTTCTAACAATTCTTATTTATGCAAAATCCAATTATATCTTCATTTTCATGATTTAAATATTTGCACTTAAAGATTTTCATTTTTTCTTAATTTTTATTTACTATATTTATCTCATTCTCATTATTCATTTTACATCTTAGTTTAAATCATTTATGAATTCGATTAAAAAAATTATTAATTTAGAATCCACAAATATGAAGCCTAATTCATCGGTTTGTAATCTTCAATTTTTATAGTGCAAATAATTCAATATTATACATCACATTTCTTCGCAAGTCATAGTAACTGCTACTTTAATTATGATTCTGCTCAGCTTCATTGTAATTACCAAAGTAATGTATAGATAAATACCTTAAACACAGTATTATATTTTGATTTTAATGAAAAATATATAATATTTTAGATAATATGCACCTCTAATGTTTTATCAATTAAATTACATATATTCATTTATTTTCTTCTTAAATTTAATAGAATTCATTAAATCACATAAATGTATGCCTCTATGATTAAAATGTATTGTATTTTAAACAGAACATAAGACTATAGATGGTTATTAATCTGAGCTAACTACTTTTGAGCAATAAAATGAATTAATTATAAGACTTTTGAGAGTGAGAAACAGGGTTCTTAATGTATTTTGAAAAATTCTCCATAATTGAACCATGATATTGTAAAATATCATATATTATTTATTTTATAACTTAGAGGAATTGATATTAATGTATAAAATAAATAAATTCATGCTGGTTTTCGATATTTTGGAAACTAATTGGTAATTAATATTTACTTAAAAACTACTTAAGCAGGATTAAGAGGTTTAATACATTTTAACTTCTCCTCCTTGATATTTAGGATCTCTAAATTGAACAACTATATCTGGACATATATTGATTGATTTAATTTCAAAAGGGATCTATTAAGTGGATCCCAAATGCTCCCCCTTATTTAATGTATAAGAAGATCCTTGATAATTGCATTAGCTATAAAAAATAACCTGACGACAAGTTGAGCCCAAGCTTAGATTTAGGTAAAGTATTTTTATGAATGAAATTTAGGGTTTGAAAGCTGCAGATAAATAACTATTTGGGGATAAGCATTATTAATTTTAGGTGTAAAAACTTTTTGTTCCTTGATAATTTAGCGATTAATAGAGAGTTAAAAGTCTACCAGTTGGGACAGTTAAGGATTTAATTGGCTGAGACCATGCATTACTTGTTAGATCTGATACACTTTAACAAATAACCAGAGAATCACCGGCATAATCACATTCGGAGAAGATCTATGCACAATTTTAATCTGGAATTTTAAATTTAAGATCATATAAGGCTACCTAATAGTAAACTCCATATACATATGTATGAGACCCTAATTGTAATAAATATAAATGTACATAGCCCTAGCACTACCTTAATATCTTGATTTACTAATGATACATTCAAAAACTGACACGGATTCCATCTTTGATCAACATCATATCCTCGTTTTGCTATCAATGGAGTAGCTGTAGTTATATGATTAAATTATTCTTATGAGATTAAGATAGTTTAGATCACTTCAGCATTATAATATGACCTACTGATAAATGGGTGATTTGCATTCATGTCAAGAGTAAAAGATAATTCAGGAGATGTCCATAAGGATTGATCAGTTCCCAACAGAATATTGAATTTTATATAGTTTAATTAAGCTAGGGTATATGTATTAGCAGATACGATAACTGTTTTTGAGTTTAGTTATTCAATCTATCATTTTTATAAAAAAGTATTACTTTTAATTCCACTATAAAGTTATAATATGTATGTCTGATACCTATTAAGGCAATAATGGCCTTAGTTGCATCTTGTAATAGATGTTCAATTGTGAATTAGACACTCCTCATTCCTGATCCTGTTGTTAGATCTTAGAGATCATTAGATTCAAATGTAATTACCTTAAGCCTTGGATCATCAAATGCAACCCAATCTACTGATATTCCATAAAGAGGATATGTTGATACTGCATATGCTCTCAATTTGAATCCTTTAATATAGTGATACAATTACCTGTTGTTTTTATATAGCTAACTTTCTCCATAAATCCATTAGGAAGTTGGTATTCCCAATCAGAACGTTGTGAAGTTATAAAAACTTAAGGTTGAATTTCGAATGGTGTCTAGAGTTTTACTTAGACTTCAATAAATCTTGGAAGAGCTGTTGAGGTTTATAATATATGCGAAGATTGGTAGTAGTCCATTATTTAAACATTTCCTTTTTCAAACTTTGCATCTCTTAAACTTTACATTTGAGACAATAATATGAAAAAAATCATTTTCTAGATTAGATTGAAAAATTCTGAATTTTTCTAATTTTTTTAAATATGAAAATCATATTATATTATATTATTACTCAATTATATTAATTATGGTTCAGAATGAAGAACATTTCAAAATATTCAAAAAAGAATTATTATTCACATATTGCAACGTTGCTAATGAAATTGCCAACTAATTAAAAGAATTATACTACTTTAGTAAAGCCCGTACCTTTGTTCAATTAATATATCTGTTGATCTTATAAATTGGCTATTTGCTTTACAACTTGATAGATTTTTTGTGAACAACTGAAGCCATTTTGTTCTTTAGTTTATTCAGTCCTGAATGTCCTCTCACCTATATATGTCTTTTCAATCTGTTGATTGAATACGAGCGCTCTTTATAAAAGTTATATCTTGAACTAACTATTATTAATACATAAAATATTCAAAAATTAGTTATTTATTCTAACTGTTTATTTTGCCTAATGCCCTTACTTATCTTATAATATCAGCAAAGAGTACTATATAGTTCTTATATCCAAGTAAAATTCCCAAAATTCTTCTAATTTTTATGTTTATTTGATATTTAAATCAATGTAGCCAATCTAGAAGACTAGGAATGTACTACTGGCCTAATAATTCATTAAACCTTATTTGTAGTATTGCGATCCAAATAACACAGAATTAACTTAGGGAATATTTAAATTCTAATCCATTTTTGCTCAGTAGTATTTTAAATCAAAAATTGAAAAAACCCTCAATAATATCAATTTTATTTCCAAAAGAAATCTCAACTTTCTCAAAGAACATCCTAATTATTGAGCAGGTCTTTTTGTTAAGTATAATCTTTTAATTAGAATTGGGAAAATTCACACAAATCCATTTATACTTCTAAAATCTTTATATATTAAATCTACTCTGCATTAGATATTAATATATTTTGCTAGTCAGTACTGGCACTTGGTCATGCTTAACTGTAGTGTTGAAGAACTCATATTGCTTAACAATCTTTAAATTCTGTGTAAATTGGGGGAACATGTGTTTTTTTTAACTTTAAGTCTTAAGGGATACATTATAATTCATCCGATAATGATTTTGAAGAGTTAGTCCTACTGATAAAACTATACAAATAAATTACAATGTTTTAACATACCTACTGGGAAAAACTTCTGAATTTTAATGCAATAGATGATGAGTCTTGTGAATAATTTAAGATTTTGCAGCTAGACTATGGAAATACCTCGACTTAGATTGATTTTTGTTGCTTTATAAATTCATCATAGTCATAGTGATGAAAATTGAATATAGAGTTTGAATGATAAAATTGTTTAGAATGATAAGAAAAGGATTAGGGACTTATTCTTCATTATCATAAATAAACAATTAAATTTCTATAAGCATGAAGTTGATCTCTTAATAAAGTTTTCAAAATTAAGAATAGTGGAATTTACATAAAAGAACAAAAATTAGTTATTTTACACTAATGCAGTCTACATGATACACTTGAATTTGAGCTGCGTTGAAATAAATTCCATAAAATACCAGGGAGTTGCTTTGAGTTTAAGGTTTCAAGCTTATCGTAATCTCACTTAATCTCTTTAACCAAATTCGCTTTTTGTTTATATTAAAACGAACCATATTGATAAAATCAATTATTATAGAAAAAAAAAAATTGATATATATATTTTAGAGTAAATCTCATAAATTTATAAAAGCACAATCAGATTCGATGATTTCTAAAACTAACAAGAAATTCTAAGTTTTAATTCACATTTTCTATCCTTAAGGATTTTTTTTTAGTAAAACTCAAGGTTTGATCTGACAGAAATTTCGCCAGATATTGTTGACCATATTCAAATTCACCAAAATAACATCACAATTAGTCAAAATAATTATAAAATTAGGGTTGATTAAGCATTGGATAGATTTTAAATAATTGGATAGGAAATAAAGATGTTATAATATTGTTCAATTTATAAAAAAATTTTGATGAATATTGAAGGGACAGACGTATTTATGACATCTAAATTGATAAATAAGTATTAATCTATCATCAATACATTCTTGAATTGGTTTTTATTTTTTGCTCTTGATTCCAAAATATAAAGCTATAACATTTCGCATTTTATTTAATAATACTCTTGAATTCATCCTGGTCAGCTTTATAAAAAACTTTACCAAAGTATTACCAAAATAATTAAATGTAGTACGGTTTACAAAAATTTTATTTGAATATTAATTATAACATATAAATTTTGGTTAAATATCTATGTGAAGTTCATTCTATATTTTAATTTATTCATGCATTAAAGATTTACTTGTATAATTTCAAATTAATCACCGATACTATCGTGAGATTTTTCAATTAGATAAACTTTTCATTTTTAGTCACTCTATTTAAAACCAATATTAAAAAATTTTTGATAATATACCAAGAATAAAATTCTAATTATTTATAAGTTTATCATCTTCTTTATTAAGATTGATATTTAAAAATATTGCAATAAGCCTTTTATTTTTAATAATATTGCTTCCTATCGTATGTAGTTACAGTATAACAAGATAGCCATAATTGATAATTCATTTTATTTTAGCTAAATTTTCTTAACATTGTTTAATGAGGCTGCAAAATCCATAAATTTAAACAAAAATTAATTAGACTACAACGTTATCAAAATTAGATGGCGACTGAATCTACAATCATTACGATTTTGTTAACTTTAAACATTTCAAAAAATGTCTAAAAATCTATTAAATTTCGTTTTATAAATATATTAGAACGCTATAAGTTGTTTAGAACTGAATTTGCAACAACTCTTTTTTATGGTATTACACATTTAAAGAAATCAATATCTAAAGATATTGTAATACTTATTTCTTTTGAATGCAATATAAATTTGGCATCATCTCATTAAATGGCTTTGAGAGACTTTTCAATCGCGTAATCACTGATTATTACATTGATTGAGAAATTGGGCATGAAAGACCTGATTTTTTTTTAATTTTATCACTGAAAATTCGCAAAACTTAGAGAATGGGAGAATTGGGATCAACTTCCCTACAAGATAATCTTGAACTGATGGATTGATACAGGGAATGAATAAAGACATAAAGAAGATCTGAAGTTTTTCATGATGGAGAAACAAATCTGATTTGAATATGATGATCACTTCCCAGGCAGAAAGACAAATCATCAAGTTTGATGAAAAGAGACAATAGTTCTTGACTCTTTAGACTTGCTAAATCAACTTTATTTTGTATAAATTATAGCATCAAATTTTGAAATTCCACAATGAAGATCCAAAAGACATAAAGGCTATTTTTTTTTTATTTCAATTGGACTAAGTAGAAAAAGGAAGATCTTTCAAATAGCAGATAAAGGGAAATATTAAACAAATTTCTCTCTAGGATTCTAAACACAATATGTGATAGATGAGAATGTCTATAGGATAGAGGAGGAGAACGACGGTTAAGAAGCCTTTGCTAAGTAACAAAATTCCATACTCATATTTGGTTTTACTTTGAGATTGGCGAGCAATACAAAAGAAAATAGTGATTGAAGTGTAAACCTGTATGGTCACCAAGATGAGCCAGAATCTAGAATGGATTGAAATGGAGGCCTATGTATAAATAGTTAGGGATGCATATAAATTCAAACATAACTTTGGAGAATTATTATTGAAAGGGTGATGAAATCTATGATCCCTACAAGTTCACAGACAAAGAGGCTTATTAAGTTTATATTTACTTAGAGTTTCATTACTTCTATACCTTACGATTGAATCCAAGCAACCTAAATCTGATAAAAAAAAGATAATTTTTGGGTAGACCTGCATGTTTATGATTGTGTAAAACCAGTCTTTTAAGTTTAATAAGGATATATCAGAACAGAAAGAACATTGGCTAGACTGCCTTAAAACTAAGGATAGTTGAAATGAGGTAAGTTGCTATTTCTGAATTATTGTGAAAAACTGAGGTACCAACAATAGGGCAAAGGACTTTCTAATCCAATTAGCCTGTGATAGTTGTTTACACTCTTAGATTTATTTCGTCAAATTTAAGAAGTCAATGTGGACTCCTTATGATGGATCATGAATACATCATTGTCATTTTTTTGGTCATTATTTTTTGTTTTATATATAAAGGATACAGAATTATTAAGTGAGTACTGGTGGAAAATTCATTTCTTAGTATAGCTTGCAGACCTTGACATTATCCAGAAAAATCATCGTGTTTGTTTTATCAAGATCTTGTTTAATTTGAACAAGCTTTTTATTCAGATCTCAAAGAATCTAAGGTTTGCAATACATTTACGTTATCAGACTCCAAAGATTTTTTGAAACACATTGAATAAAGTTTCTTTATAATCTATTTTGTTTGAATGAAGAAATTAATTTAGGATACAAGAAAAGTGATTGAAATAGGTTTCATCAAAAAAAGCCTACATCAAATGAATGAAGCGATTACATAAATCGAGTGTCATACCATAAAAGTTTATATTTATAGAGTTAGACATATCTAAAATAAAATATATTTGAAATTAAATTGGATTTTGAGTAGTCTTTATGAGAAATTTTGTAAGCCATTTAATAAAATAAATCGGATGGGCTACAAAATGGAATATTATTTAATATGCCTATAATTTTTATGATGAAAAGAAGAAATTTGAATTCCTCTTGCAAGAAAACTATATTATTCTATAATATTATTAAAGAAAAACTAATAAATTGTTAGAGTAATGATGAGTTTATGATATAGAATGTCAATAATAAATCATTTCAACTGTGGGCTATAATTTAAACTACAAATAAGCAACAATTATTATTGGGAAAGGAAAGGAGAAAATCTATAATATCATACACGATAATTGATTTATAATAATATCAATATAGGAGGGAGGTATAAATTTAAATTTGAGTTTTATGTATCATTTTATAGAATTTATAAATTTATTAACAAGTGAGTTTTCTGATATTGCTTTACAAAGAGAGTTCCCATATACAAATTGAATTCTTCTTTCTAAATAGAATAAAAATTTTTTTTACATTCTTCAAGGACACTTGATTGGCTGATTGGCACAAAAATAAAAGTAACCTTCTAAATATTTATTAACTCAATTATTAAAAAATTTGAACAATAAGAAAATTAAAATAAAAAATAAATAATTAATTTCTTTTTCAGAACATTTAGTACTCAACTTAGGTTAAAAGAAAAGACCTAAATCCATTCAACATTAATAATTAGAGAATAATTTAATGATACCTCCACTAGAATTTAAATTTAATATTATTAAATTAAAAATGAAATTTATTACACTTTTTCAATACTTCTTTTCTGATAGAGAAAAATATAAAAAAATCAATTTATCCATCTATTTAAAATAGATATTTTAGATGAAGACTAATTAGAGTTTGAAATATTTATCATATTCCAGGAAGTCTGTATAATAGTTGCAATAAAACTCATTATTAGTTAAAACTTTTAAATAGAAGTTATATTGCAATATTAAAAAGATTATTGTTAAGATCTAAGAGTAATTGTATATTTTCCCCACCTTTTCAACACATTAGCAAAATTTTAAACCTAAATTTGATACTCTAATAGCTTTTCTAGCTTATAGTACATCTTTCAAGGCATTGTTTGCAAATCGATAATTACTAAAATATATAAGTAATACTTATATATTCATAATTCTAACATAAATTCGCTATTAATTTCTTTATATGATGATTGACTAGAATTCAAATAAACTAATCTTCTCTCAGGTGATAATTCTAAGTTATGGTATTCTTTAACTTTAGCATGATTTCAAATCAATTTATTTTGACATCCTTAAAATCCTAGTTACTTATGATAGTAGTAACAAAAGAAGATAGAAAGACATAAATTATTTAATCCCCATCTTCAATAATTACAATCTGATAATCAATGATGTATTTCTAGACTTCGAGTTGAAATCGAAATTTATTATTTATATAGGTTGTACTAATAAGAATACCAACTTATATTAACTTAGAAAGAAATTTTGCATTCTTACATAAAATGTATTTGATTCTTCCTTATATTGGAAATGCAATTGAATTATAAAAAAAAAGAATTCTTTAAATGAAAAAATGTTTGATGTAAAGTTACATCAGTTTCCATTTCAGAATTAGTTTAAGCGGCTTTGGAATTCATTAAAAAATATAAATATAATTGAAACAGCATTAATCCATTCATGTATTTTTTGTTTAAAACTTCCTTTCCTTAGAATTAATTAATAAAAATTATTCTTTTCGGAGAAATTCAGAAGAAAATTATTTTATAAATTAATAAATATTTATGTTTAAATAATTTTAATTAAAATAAAATAGTCATCAACCCTTAGAAATGAACTCGGAACTTTACATCTTGAGAGTAATTTAACACTAAACTAATTGATGATACTTCAAATAATAATTAGTCGATGTTTTAAAAATTAAATTGGAAATACTTTTTTCTCTCTTTTGGTTTTTTCGAATTTGAAATGAAACATAATTAATGAATATCATCTATGCTTGATTTTCATCATATTTTGAAATTCTAATATTTATCATAGTTATATTTTGATTTTATTATACTTAATGGTTTAGTATCTGTTGTTTAAGCCTAATCAAATATAAATTCGCTGCAATTCTTTTGATAATCTTCCACTTTTGCATCTTTTTGTTATTCTATGCTAAATATTTAAAAAAAAAGATTAAAGTTAATTTTGCTCTCCTATATTTTATGGTGATTTCCTCTAATTTCCACATTATTTATATGCTCCTACCAATTTAGTCACCCGAAAAAATTTACTAATAATAAATAGAATTTGATGATTACCTTACTACTATATCATAAATGAATATAAAATATCTTCTGATTTTCTGACTTTATTCTTTCATTTAAAATTTGTTAAATTTTACCGATCACTTATGTACACTTTTTAGGCAGGTCTACAACTTTAGTTAATAAAATATTAATAGATTAGCTATTCATGAACTTCATATTTTTGATAGAAATATAAAGGTCCCTCTCAAACTAGCCAAATATTGGATTTTTTATGGAAGCTAGTGGCTTAAATGATTTAATAACATCTTGAGATACATTTTAATTAACATTACAATTTTTAATTAAATTATATTAAAATTGTTTAATATAANGATTCTTCCTTATATTGGAAATGCAATTGAATTATAAAAAAAAAGAATTCTTTAAATGAAAAAATGTTTGATGTAAAGTTACATCAGTTTCCATTTCAGAATTAGTTTAAGCGGCTTTGGAATTCATTAAAAAATATAAATATAATTGAAACAGCATTAATCCATTCATGTATTTTTTGTTTAAAACTTCCTTTCCTTAGAATTAATTAATAAAAATTATTCTTTTCGGAGAAATTCAGAAGAAAATTATTTTATAAATTAATAAATATTTATGTTTAAATAATTTTAATTAAAATAAAATAGTCATCAACCCTTAGAAATGAACTCGGAACTTTACATCTTGAGAGTAATTTAACACTAAACTAATTGATGATACTTCAAATAATAATTAGTCGATGTTTTAAAAATTAAATTGGAAATACTTTTTTCTCTCTTTTGGTTTTTTCGAATTTGAAATGAAACATAATTAATGAATATCATCTATGCTTGATTTTCATCATATTTTGAAATTCTAATATTTATCATAGTTATATTTTGATTTTATTATACTTAATGGTTTAGTATCTGTTGTTTAAGCCTAATCAAATATAAATTCGCTGCAATTCTTTTGATAATCTTCCACTTTTGCATCTTTTTGTTATTCTATGCTAAATATTTAAAAAAAAAGATTAAAGTTAATTTTGCTCTCCTATATTTTATGGTGATTTCCTCTAATTTCCACATTATTTATATGCTCCTACCAATTTAGTCACCCGAAAAAATTTACTAATAATAAATAGAATTTGATGATTACCTTACTACTATATCATAAATGAATATAAAATATCTTCTGATTTTCTGACTTTATTCTTTCATTTAAAATTTGTTAAATTTTACCGATCACTTATGTACACTTTTTAGGCAGGTCTACAACTTTAGTTAATAAAATATTAATAGATTAGCTATTCATGAACTTCATATTTTTGATAGAAATATAAAGGTCCCTCTCAAACTAGCCAAATATTGGATTTTTTATGGAAGCTAGTGGCTTAAATGATTTAATAACATCTTGAGATACATTTTAATTAACATTACAATTTTTAATTAAATTATATTAAAATTGTTTAATATATGTAAAGGCAAATAAGTTAAAAATAATTTAACTCATAATAATGTATTCTGCTATCAAATTCAAAAAGTTATTTTGAAATAAAATTTTTATTAATCTTGGTATATTGTTTCTAGGAAAGTAATAATTTTTTTTCAAACTTACAATTGGAAGAGGAAATTTACATTTTATTGGATTTTTTTTAGGTTTTTAGCATCTACATAATAATTTCATTTTTAAAGAAAATTAATAACTGTATTTGCCTAAAAAATAAGGTGAAACTAAAATAAAAGAAAACAATTGTAAGAACAAATATCATTTGCAAGACCTGAAATTTTATTTTATAAAACTTGGGAAATACTCTTTAATTGCTTAACGCATCAAAAAAATTAGAAACATATAGTTGATATTGTGTATTTGTTGAACTAATTAATAATCAACTATTTTATTGCCTTTGTAATTCAATATAATTTTCCAAAAAAATGCTGCCTCGTTATTTAAATAATGTCCTTAGATCTACCCCTTTATGATTTCCAAATTCTCCTTTAAAGATTAGAGCCTCTTAAGCTTAAAAAATTAGCTATTGGGATATTAACAGTATGGTTATATTGGCAGCTAAGGCATAGAAAAAATACATACCACTTTCTAAACGTATATTCTTTTTCGATATTGAGGTTTTGTATTAAGTCAAAATATCTTTAAATTGATTATCTGTAGGTTTTATATATTGCACAGCTTGTAAATCCCATAAGCGAATAGAATTATTAATGCTACCAGATGCTAGTATAGTACCATTAGGAGAGAAACAAACTGACATAACAAAATCACTATGACCTTCTAATTTGGCTTGCTATTCTCCTGTCTTGGTATCCCATAAACAAATAGAGTAATCATAACTACCAGATGCTAAGATTTTGCCATCAGGAGAAAAGCAGACTGATTGCACTCTATCATCATGACCATTTAATTTGGCTTTTTATGATCCTGTTTTAATATCCCATAAACGGATAGACTTATCTGCGCTACCAGATGCTAATGTGGCTCCATCAGGTGAGAAGCAGATTGAATAGACAGAAGAAAGATGACCAACAAATTTTGCTTTTTATTATCTTGTCTTAATATCCCATAAACGAATAGAAGTATCATCACTACCGGATGCTAATATAGTACCATCAGGAGAGAAACAAACTGACATAACATGATCACTATAACCATCCAATTTGGCTTCTTATGACATTGTCTTAATATCCCATAAACAAATAGAGTAATCATAACTACCTGATGCTAATGTAGCACCATCAGGAGAGAAACAGAGCGACATAACATATTCACTATATACATCTAATTTGGCTTTTTATTATGCTGCCTTAACATCCCATAAACGGATAGTCTTATCATAACTGCAAGATGCTAATGAAGCACCATTAGGTGAGAAACAAATTGAACTAATACTATGAGTATGACCATCTAATTTTGCTTTTAATGATCCTGTCTTAATATCCCATAGACAGATAGACATATCTATACTACTAGATGCTAAAGTATAACCATCAGGGGAGAAACAGATTGAATAGACAGAATAACGATGATCATTTAATTGGGATTTTTATGATCCTGTATTAATATCCCACAAACGGATAGACTTATCATCACTTCCAGATGCTAATGTGGATTCATCTGGAGAGAAGCAAATTGAAAACACTCCACCACCATGACCTTCTATTTTGGCTTATAATTATCCTGTCTTAACATCCCATAAATGAATCGACCGATCTAAACTACCAGACGCTAAGGTTCTACCATTAGAAAAAAAACATATTGCCATGACTTAATTATTATGCCCATCTAATTTGGCTTTTTATGATCCTATCTCAACTTCCCATAAACGAATAGTCTTGTCCTAACTACAAGATGCTAATGAAGTACTGTCAGGAGTGAAACAAACTTAATTAATACCGCTAGTGTGACCATCTAACTTCATTTTTTATTATCCTGTCTTAACATCCCATAAACGGATAGTCTTATCGTCACTCCCAGATGCTAATAAAGAACCATCAGGAGAGAAACAAACTGAATTGATACAACCAGTATGCCCATAAATCCTGCGGTTTTATGATTTTATCTTAACATCCCATATGTAGATTGATATTTCATTACTACCAGAGGCTAAAATAGTACCATCAGGAGAGAAACAGATTGTTTAAACATTACTTGTATGGCCAAATAATCTCACCATTTTTTTCCTAGTTTTGACATTCCATAAAGACACAAACTTGTTACTGCAAGAAGCCAATGTTCTGCCGTGAGGTTAAAAACAGATTTACTTCACATTGCTACTTTCTTATAATACAAAGAGTATTTTTCCTGTTTTCACATTCCAAAAGTGAATGGAATTATCATCACCACTAGATGCTAATTAAGTACCATCAAAAGAGAAGCATACTGAATTTACTCTACTCTTATGACTATTTAGTCGATTTAACTAATCAATACTTAAGTTTTTCCATATGCATTGAAATAGCTATGCTCCGTTTAAATTTATTCCACTTATATTTACATTATCAAAGTCAGATCCACTCAAACTGCATCTGACAAAATTTGCACCTATCAAAGAAGTATTTTTAATTTTAATGTTTTCAAAATTATTATTTGTTAGATCAACCTTCATTTCAACTAATAAATTCAATGAATTAGATCCACTTTAGATAAATCTTTCATCAATAGATGTAAGAAGAACTAAGAATTTTATAAATTCAACGATCTTCTTATCATTAGAGATTTATTTAATCAGATCTAATTTTATTTGTTTATAACTTTCAGTAGAGTAGTTTTGTTTATTAAAATCATGATCTATAATATTTTTGAGAATATTAGTAATTTTCATAAATGTTTTTTTTCTTTCATTAAACTTTTATACCTCATCCCCAGCAAATCGATTTTCTACACTAAAAAGACTTTTTTTGTCATGTTTTTGATTTTCATTTTTTTAGAGAAATTCTAAACAGTCTTGGATTTTCTCTTTTTTGAGCACTTTAAGTACTTCAAGTAAAATGTATTCATCCAAATCTTGTGATAAAGCTAAAACTCTGTACAAATCTTATTATTTATCGTAGCAATTCATTATATATTGTTTTTTATTTTCAATAAATTTGAATTATTAAAAGTTACTATTTAACTGTTGAAGTTGTATTCTTCATAAACACATGTGCTCTTCTGGTTATTTTAAAGTCTTAATGTTATTAAGGGTTGAAATGCTTAGGTGCTAAGATGGTGAAGTGCTTTATTCTTATAGTTATATTCTAAATTAAAATACTTGATAAAATTAAAATCAACATTTCTGATAAAATTTATGAAATAGTCTTTCAGAAACTAATTAAATAGTAGTTTTTTTTATTTATTAATTTCACTCAAAATTTTAATAGAAATTCATATTCAGTCTATGACGCATTATAGTACAATATATTCTGTATAATTTTTTTAATTAAGATATTTTATATGTTAGTATTGGTTCTATTACCCATAATCTACTTGGGTTATACATAAGAGCAATGCCAAGTTAAGAAACAATAAATATCATTTTTCTTTTCTACCTAAGAAACATATGAGTGGAACTTAAAAGATTTATTCACCGGATCCTATTTGAATTACACCTTAAGCTCAAAGTAACCCTTCTTTACGTTGAAGAAACCTATACATTAAGAATATACACCTAAAACATTGATAGAAGGTATAAAATATAGTTAAATTAGGTATATCAAAAATTGCTGCCATTTAGGCTAGAAC